TCGACCATGCTTACGAATCCCTAATACATGAAAAAACTGATAATCGCTCTATAGTGCCCTCTAAGGAAGCTTCTTTTTTCTTTGTTTTTTTTTTTTTGGGGGGGGGGGGGATTTCTTAAGCAAATCGGAATATTTCCGACAGAGTCCGAGCTGAACCGGAGCAACTTCGGGGTGAGAGAGTTTTCTTGGTACAAACGGTTTAAGGTTCTGGGTTTGGGGTTTATAGGGTTTAGGGTTTAGGATTTAGGATTTAGAGTTTAAGGTTCTGGGTTTAGGGTTTGTAGGTTTTGTTTGGCATTTTTGTTTTGGCCGCATAAGGTTGAGTTCCGATGAGTACCGTGTTTGGGGACAGGGACATGTTGCCGAAGCTCAATAATAAATAAAAGCGGCTCAGAATGTTAGCGGAACTCAATTAGAAATAGAGTCCGGAGTATAAACGGCCCCCACCCAAGATTCAGCTTCAGGGAACCGAAATCTAGAACCAAAATCTCGGGTCCGGAAGAGAGAGAGAAAGAAAGAAAGAAAGAAAGAAAGAAATAAATAAAGAAAGAAAGAAAGAAAGAAAGAGAGAGAGAGAGAGAGAGAGAACGAGAGAGAGAGAGAGAGAACGAGAGAGAGAGAGAGAGAGCGCGAGAGAGAGAGAGAGAGAGAGAGAGAGAGAGAGAGAGAGAGAGAGAGAGAGAGAGAGAGAGAGAGAGAGAGAGAGAAAGAGCGAGAGAGAGAGAGAGAGAGAGAGAAAAGGAGAAGGAGAAGGAGAGCGAGAGAAAGAGAAAGAGAAAGAGAAGGAGAAGGAGAGAGATAGCGATAGAGAGAGAGACAGGAGGGTCTAGCTACGCTCGTATCAGGTAAAAGCCAAAGAGCCCGCTAAACCCTAAACCCTAAACCCTAAACCCTAAACCTTCAACCCAATTTTCTCTACCCCAAGCCCCCAAGCTCAGGTCCAAACTTCCCTCTTGGAGACCCCCCGGCCTCAGCGCAGCCGGGGCGGAAGGGCTTCAGTGAGGGTTTGGGGTTTAGGGTTTCGGGGTTTAGGGTTTAGGGTTTGGGGTTTAGGGTTTAGGGTTTTCGGGGTTTAGGGTTCTGAGGGTTTGGGGGTTTATTTCGGGGTGTGAGGTTTGGGGTTTAGGCTTTGGCATGGCTTAGGTTTTGGGACTCTCCTCCTCCCAACCCTAAACCCTAACCCTAAACCCTAAACCCTAAACCTGGAGAACCTATTCTCGAAACTCGGCGATACTTTTGGAGTGGTTTAGGGCTTTGGGAAAAGGTTCAGGCCTCCTGCCTAAACCTACGGCGCTAGAAGAGCCTTGGGGCTTTATGGGGCTTGGGGTTTGGGGTTTGGGGTTTAGGGTTAGGATTTAGGGTTTAGGGTTTAGGGTTTAGGGCCCCAAAATCCCTAAAGACGTAAACCACCAAGCAACCGAACCTTCAAGAGCTCTGTGGGATGTGGGGGCTCCTCAGTCGTGAGAGCCCTCCTTGGGGACCAACTGAGCCTTCGAAGGGTTTATCGGGCTGGTTCTCCTAGTATGGAGTGAGGGGATGAGGTACCCCAAACCAAAAAGACCGTAAAGGGTACATACAGGGCCCTAATTCCCTCCTTACCTTCTAAGAACTAGGGGGTTATGGTTCATATACATTAGGAATTATCACCTAGTAGGTATAGGGAATCTGACCCCCAAGTTTCGGGCTCATGTAGCTTTAAAGGCTGAGGGCGTGTTGTCAATCCTAAGCCCTCCGTCAATTCAACAGCTTGGAAAGCTTGGGTGTAAGCTTCTGGCGCGGGGGTTTTGGACCTTCCTTTAAGAACTTTAGGGTGTAGGGTTTTTGGTTTCGGATTTACGGCTGCAGTTTCATAGGCTTTGCACCCTTCTGAGGCGGGTGATGTGAGTCACAAACTTATTCTCCCTTGGGACCAAGTGAACGCTAAAGTTGGGGTCATACACCCTATACCTATATACTATCATCCCTAAACCCTTACTCCGAATAACATGCTTAACCTTTTAGGGTTCATTTGGCCCCCAAGGTTAGGGAGCAGCTCCCACCCCGGGCATCCTTTTCGTATCGAGGGTGCTGGCACGGATTGGTCTGTGAAGGTACCTGACGCCACCTTATCGCCACAGGGTCTAGGGTTTAGGGTTTAGGGTTTAGAGTTTAGGGTTTAGGGTTTAGGGCTTCTGGCAGGTATCTCAACTGCAGGGCTTCGGGCGCACGGTGCAGGGGGCCTATACTTTGCTACATGGGATCTACTCCCGCCAAGGGTGCAAGAACAGAAGCATGCCCAGACCTTCCCTGGGACTCTCTTTACCTACAGTCTCATGGGCTATACCTGCTGACTGAGGTTAGGTTACTACTAAGCTGTAGGTAAAGAGAGAGTATCAGGTAGACCCTAAACCCTAAACCCTAAACCCTAAACCCTAAACCAGTCTTGGGCTATCTACACGCCGAGGAGAAAGCTTAGATGAAGTGGCTGTCGACTGCCTTCATGTGGGCAAGGTCCCTGTCGGTGCCGAGAACCCCTTGCTGAGCACCAGCAGCTTTGACACTTCATGAAGTTGTGCAGGAGTGGCCCTGGCTCTTGAAACTCGAAAAGATCCTCTCAAACCCAGCAAGGGATAAGCAAGTAGCCACAAAAGGTTTTGTTGGGGAGAACTTGGGAACCAGCTGAATTTGGAGACCGCACGTCTCATAGCCATCCTAAACCCTAAACCCTAAACCCTAAACCCTAAACCCTAAACCCTAAACCCTAAACCCTGAACCCTAAATCTTCAACCCGCACCCCCCAATGGCGAGAAGAATTGTCCCGATCCGGACGCCCCCAAGAACTCTCTACTGGCTGGTTCTTAGCAGGGAAGGAAGGCTATGAAATCCTTTAAAGGGGTATATATATATAATTATAGATATATATATATATATAAAATATATAGGGCCCTGATTCCCTCATTCCCTTCCAAGAACCAAAGGGTTTAACAGCATAGGGCCCTAGGAGGCCGACCCTGAAATCTACTTCTGCACGGCTTTCCGGCACGGCATGGACACCTTGCATTTGACTTCCTCGCTCCTGTCGCCTGCGAACTTGGTAGCACAGTAACCATATTGAAATAAGGGCACCCGTTTTTTTCGGGTTGGTTACTTTAGAAGGGGACTCAGAACCAAAAAAGGCAAAGACCTTTTGTGGTTACTTGAAAAGCTGGGAACACAGAACCCAAAAAAAGGTAACTACAGGGCACCACTGGGCTACCAAGCTAAGCTAAGGCAGGCTTCGCTGGACCTCCGGCGGGACCCTTGGGGCTTTACGTACTAGATCTTAAGTTGCTGCCTTTTTAGGCATAAACGCGTGCCCGTCTCTTGAATCATTCTGGGCCCTAGGTGTTCTGATTGCACACTCTTCACCCTATTGAAACCACTAAACCCCCAACCCGAAATCCCAACCCCATGTGACCCAAAACCCCCTGAACCTGAAACCCTGAACCCTAAACCCTACATCCCAACCCCATGTAGCTCTATTCCTGTAAACCCTATAAACCCTAAGCCCTAACTCCCAAACCCATGTGTCCCTAAACCCTTTCAACACCTAATCCCGAAATCCCAAACCCATGTAGCCCTAAACCCTATAAACTCTAAACCCTAAACCCTAAATTCCCGTGTAGCTCACAGACAGTGGCCCGATGGTACCGCCGGAAGTCCCTGACCGAGTGTTCTCCATCCAGAGGGTATTTAGGGTTTAGGGTTTAGGGTTTCGGGTTTCGGCTGCGAAACGTTATGTCGCACTCTCTTGCGCTGTGGCCTGGCATCCGGAGCATGGCTTGGCCGTAAGTTCGTCCGGTGCCAGGGACGTCGCAGGAAGAAAACAATTCGCAGGATGCCTCTTCCAGCCAACTCACTCGGCTGTTTAGGGTTTAGGGTTTAGGGTTTAGGATTTAGGATTTAGGGTTTAGGGTTTAGGGTTTACGATAGGGTTTAGGGTTTTTAGGGTATCGGTATACCCTGAACCCTAAGCCCTAAACCCTAAACCCTAAACCCTAAACCCTAAATAAACCCTAAACCCTAAACCCAAATTTTGTTATTGGGCTCCAGGGGTTCAGGATCTAGGAGACCGACTCTTAAGCTGCCACGACCTACAACATCAGCACACAACTTCTCTGAAAGCCACAAGCTGTGTCTACTTGTCGTGGCACAGGACGTGGTTTGGGGATTTTAGCGTTTAGGGTTTAGGGTTTAGGGTTTCGGGTTTAGGGTTTAGGGCGTGGAAGCTTTACAGGGGACCTGGCACGCATCTTCAGCTATGCCTGTTCTCCATGGGGACCTGAGGGAGTGAGGTCTGTACTGCGCAGTGCAGAGGTCCCTGCTACGCATGCCTCCTCAAACATGAAGGGGTTAGTTGGCATGAGGATTTAGGGCTTAGGGCTTAGGGTTTAGGGTTTAGGGTTTAGGGTTTAGGGTTTAGGAACTACCCATAACATGCTTGGAAGAAGGCTGGGTGTGGAAAATCCTGCAACCTCCGTTGTCTTGGCTCCTGTAGCACCCAAAACTAGCTGTCGCAGACGCTCTCCGCGCTGACGAAGTTTCGGTGAAAACCCCTGGCCCGATAGACTGTGTGAGCCATGACATGTAAACAGCAAGCAGCAGAGTGTTGCCGCCGCCGCTTCCCTGCCACACTGCCCGCATTTGGCCCTCCACTTTTTCGCGGGGTGCCAGGATCTGACGCACATCGTCCTGTGACTTGATGTGCATGAAACAGTTCAGGGTGAAACTTTCCTTTCTCTAGACTGCCGGGAATCATGCACCCCCACATCCCTCCACAGGAACGCCAACTCTCCCAACAACCCTAGTTTCTAGAAGTCTCCTTACGAACCATCGCTTTCATTAAGCCCTCTGAAAATGTTCCTACGTAAGGTCCCCCTGCACCCAATAGGGTAAATACCAAAAAACACACATAAGGGCCTATCCTGGACCCTAAACCCTAAACCCTAAACCCTAAACCCAAAACCCTAAACATCAAGCGCTCATATCTCCATGTCGCCGCATGGTTTCGCCATGGGCTGACGAGTCTCCTTCCCAGGTGGAGAAGCAGTTGGCTGAGGGCGACGGACCGAGACCTAAACCCTAAACCCTAAACCCTAAACCCTAAACCCTAAACCCTAAACCCTAAAAATCATGAAGAACACAACCCACTAAGGGCCTAAGGCGATGTAGGCTTCAAGCAGCCGTAGGGCCCCACGGCCTTGCGAAGCCACATCTGAAGACTTAAGCCCTGCAACCCAACCCGAAGTCCCTAAACCCTAGACCCTAAACCCTAAACCCTGAACCCTAAACCCTAAACCCAAAACCCATGCTATGAAAACTATTCAAGTCTATGAGACCCAAAAACCCCCTGAACCCCTAAACCCTGAACTCTGAACCCTTTTAGGACTCGTTTGGCCCCCAAAGGTCCTTGCTCTGGGCTTCGGCGTATGTAGTTGTCTGTCGCGACGCCTCCCCCTGGTCTGAAGGCTCGTAGTATCTCTCATCTGCCTGGCGGGTGCGGGCTTTAAAAGTTTAGGGCTTGGGGTTTACCTGGGACTCTACTTGCATACAGTTTAGTAGCAACTACCATTAATTCTTGGGTAAAACCCATGAAGCTGTAGGAAAGGAGGGTCCCAGGTAGTGCTTGGGGTTTATAAGCTCTCCAAAGCTCTTCAGGGGTGGCCTTGGATCAACCCTAAACCCTAAACCCTAAACCCTAAACCCTAAACCCTAAACCCTAAACCTAAACCCTAAACCCTAAACCCTAAACCCTAAACCCTAAACCCTAAACCCTAAACCCTAAACCCTAAGCTCGTCAGGGCTTGCCAGGAGTGTTACAAGTCAGAGGCCTCCTGAATTCTAGGGCCCTACATCATCCCTTAAAGTGTATATGTATATGTATATGTGTATGTATATGTATCTGTATATGTATATGTATATGTATATATACGGGGCCCGAAACCCTAAACCCTAAGCCCTAATCCCCATTCCCTACTAAGAACCAGCCAGTTTTCTAAGGCTGCTGACTCAAGATGCTCTCTGCTCCTGCTTGAAACAAGAGGCCTTGTGAGAGTTCAGGGTTGTTGAGCTTCGGATAATTAAACCCAGAAACCCTAAACCCTGACCCTAAACCCCAAACCCCAAACCCTAAACCCTCGAAGGTGCAGGCTTGAGGGCATCTGGGGTTCACATGCCTTAACTATAGGAGAAGATTTGAAGGGCTTAGGGAAGCGCATCAAAGTCCGAAGCATCTTTCATCGCCTTTTTGGCCCTGCCTTTGTCGCACTCCCCGCTCCCCCCCTAAACTCACTATTGGGTTCCGGGCTTAGGGTTTAGGGGGATTCTAGTCCCCCTATGACAATCCCTATTAAGAACTGTTATCGTGTAGGGGCGAGCATCCCAACTCCCTACACTCCCTACACTCCCCCCTTCCGCCTTCAGGTTTTTGGTTTCCGGGGTTGGGGCTTAACATTTCGCAGGGCTTAGGGTTTAAAGTTTAGGGTTTGGGGCGTCTATGCCCCCCTTAGAACCTTAATAAAAATGATATTTTCAATATCCTGTTGGGTTTTATGTGAACAAAAACACAATTCCCAAGGGGGATATAGGCGTAGCCTGAACCGCTTGTTGAGCCTGGCTTAACCTTCTCCTGGGAGAGAAAGTCCCCCTCAAAGCCCCCCCAAAATGCGCTACCCTAAACCCTAAACCCTAAACCCTAAACCCTAAACCCTAAACCCTAAACCCTAAACCCTGGCCGCGCACCTCTGCGGTGAACTGAAGCATGCTGTAGTGCTTCTGAATGCGCTCCTCGAAGATCGAGTGGGGGGGGGGGGGACCCGAGGAAGGGGTCGTTTCTGGCCTCTGGACCATGAGGGTCCCCAAAGTTGGCTGCAAGGTTCAGGGTTTAGGGCTTAGGGTTTAGGGTCCCTAAGCCCTCAAGTAGCTCTGAGGATGATGAGGTTCGAGGTGGGGGTTTCGTGCTGAGTTGGGGAGTCAAGATTCCCGTTGAGTAATCTAGCGGGGCCACTTGGAGTTTGCATCTGGACTGGGAGGGGATGCCGGAAGAAGCGGCCCTAAACCCTATAAATCCTAATCCCGAACAAGAAAGGAGTAGCCTGTCCGAACCCGCTGCTTTCATCAAAAAGGAAAGCGCCTGGTGACGAGGAACTAGCTACACACACACACACCACCACAAATTGAAGGCCGTATTTGGCCTTTAAGTGACTGCACGGGGATCCTTCTGCCCAACTTCCCTACGAGGAACCCGTATGGCAAGCCCAGCCGTGTAGTCCTCTGCTTTCTCGGAATGCACCCTTAGCTGCACAAGGCTCTGCAGCAGACAAGGCACGCAAAGTTGAAGAGTCTTGTTGCCCCCCTTGTTTTTTTTTAATTCTTGGAACAGGCAGTTACCCTGTTGTCAGAGGACTCTCTTACCCTAAGCCCTAGAATCTAAACCCTAAACCCTTTCAGTGCGAGGATATCGAGCCCAACAAAGTGAAGGGCTGTTAATGTGCACAGGACTCATTCAAGGGGGTTCAAGTTGCAACGGTCGCTGCCCCAGCTATTTCAGGAGGTTGCGCAGGCAAAGGTGGGACGAAGCAAAGCCCACTCATACCTCAAATCTAAAACACCCGAAGCCCTTCTTTTTCACCATTTTTTCAGGGGGAGGGGGGGAGGGGTCTGCCAGAGCTCCTATACCCTGTAAACCCCTTTTTTGAAGCATGGACTGCGGAGGTCCGCCAGCACATCTGAAGAGACTCTTGCCAGGACAGCGGGGCCAATCCCCCAATCAACAAAGAACATGAATCAACGACATGGTGACTGCTGTGCCTCGGGCCTCCCAAGACAGAACTCATGTCGGTAATCAGAAGCAAAGAGCAGACAGGAATGTATGCCCTCTTTGCCAATATGTTTTATGGGTTATGCCTACTAATTAGGGTAGTTACTACTAAACTGCGGGTAAACAGAGTCCCATGCGAAGGAAAGCTTGAACGGAAACCCTTCAAAGGGGCCAGCGAAGCTCGTCACGGCAGGACTCTTCGGCATGCCCGACCCACGCACCCCTGAACCCCTGAACCCTAAACTCTAAATCCCTACAAGGAGGGGCCCCCTTACTTTACTAACTGTAGTGAAGGGGCTTATCCCCAAATTTAGGATCCTTATAACCCAATTTAGGGCTCTTATGACTCTACTTCTAGCTAGGGGGCCCCTCCTTGTAGAGCCTAAACCCTAGACCTAACCCCCTTTTCTCAGAATCTAAGCCAGCTAGAGCGAACATACAGAATTAAGCCACGCTTTATCAAGCCCAAACCCAAAAACCTAGCGCCTTTTTCCCTAAACCCTAAACCCTAACATCTTTTTTCACTAAACCCTAGAGCAGCAACCCTAAATCCTTTTTGAGCACGGGCTTTGGATGTGTGCCGGCAAGGTAATCTTAAGAGCTTCACAAGACCAGCAAACTTGAAACTGAACTAATTGCACAGCCCGAAACCCTAAACCCCTAAAACCCTAAACCCCGAAACCCCGAAACCCAGAAACCCCTAACCCCTAAACCCTAAACCCCTAAACCCTAAACCCTAAACCCTAAACCCTAAACCCTAAACCCTAAACCCTAAACCCTAGACCGAGGCGCCGCTGCATCGGGGGCCCGGAGGCAGGGGGCGCGAAAGAGCCGATCGGGACGCCCATCGCGTTGCGGGAGCGGCTCTTCATTGAGCTGGTGCTCCTGAAGGCTGGGGGGGAGGTTAGAGTTTGGTTTAGGGTTTAGGGTTTAGGGTTTAGGGTTTAGGGTTTAGGGTTTAGGGTTTAGGGTTTAGGGTTTAGCGTTTGGGGTTGAGGGTTTACGGTTTAGGGGTTTCGGGTTTAGGGTTTTTGAGTTTTTTTTTTTTTTGGGGGGGGGGGGGGGGGATGGGGCCTTTTGGAGGGCTGTTAGAGGAAGTTTTTGAGGGCCTTTACAGGGCTCTTGGAGGGTTGCTAAAGGGTGTCTATAAGGCTTCTAGAGGAAGGTGCTTGAAGAGTTTTTGATAAAGAAGAGTTTTTGATAAAGGGCTTTTCAAGGGGGGTTTGTCGGATTTTTAGAGTGTCTTTATGGGCTTTGGGAGGTATTTTATCGCGCTTGTTTGGGGTTTAGAGAGTTTTTGTAGGGTTTATGTAAGGTTTATGGGGGTTATTGCGTTTTTTTTCAGTGCTTTTTATAGGGTGTAATAGGGTTCATAGGGTGGTTCAAGGTATAGCGGCTCCTGGGGTCTACAGGGTGTCGGGAACAGGGACGCTTCGTTTAAGAAGCCCGTGAAAACCCCCTAAGCTTCAACCCCCTCGTTCTTAGTAGGGAAAATGAGGGGATGAGGGCCCTATGTCATCCCTGAAAGGGTATAGATAGGGCCCTCATTCCCTCATTCCCTACTAAGAACCAGCCAGTCAACCCCAAACCCAAAACTCTGAGCCCTAAACCCGCCCCGTGCTTTAGGTTTTGCGCGTTCTGTCATAAGATGGCTCGGGGAACTTCAAGTGTAAGGTGCAATAAGGGATTTACTGCTTCCTTGTTGGGGTCATATTCAAAATTATCATTTTTATTCCTTATTGGGAATATACTAGGACAACAATGTAAAGTTATAACCAACAAGGATCCAGTTTAGGGTTTTGGAGCAGATGCTTGGTTGGTTGAGAAGGCGGTCGGGGATCAACAGCTGGGGCCTTGGACCCGTTCCGCGCTTGTTTGGAATCTAAACCCTAAACCCTAAACCATAAACCCTAAACCCTAAGTCCTAAACCCTAAACCCCAAACCCTAAACCCTAAACCTTCAGCTCCGTTCGGTCCTGGATTCTTGCTATCGGCTTTCCGGCTTTTTTTGGGGGGGATGGCTGAAGGGTCACTGCCGTGCAAGGCGCTTGACCACGGATTCTGCCGAGCCGGCGCGCGCTAAGTAGCCCCGGCCGCTCTTGGTGGAGCTGGCACTGCGCCTGGGTGAGCTATGGCATTTTTTCTGGTGCCCAATCTGGCTTCCTCAAGAACCAGGGGGAAATGTTAAACTTAATGATTCCTACACCCGAAAAAATAGCAGTTCAACCATTGGCTAAGTAAGCAATTCAACTTTACTATTCCTACTAAATCAGGAAACCCAAAAAAGTTTAAAGCACAACTATTGGCTAAGTAAGCAGTTAAACTGTTCTATTCCTACTGAATAAGGAAACCCAAACAGTTTAAAGCACAACCATTGGCTAAGTAAGCAATGAAACTTTATTATTCCTCCTAAGTAAGGAAACCAAAACATTTTTAAAGCTCAACCATTGGCTAAGTAAGCGATTGTGGAATTGTGCGAGGCTTATCCTGTCTAGGCCTTCCTGGCTCCAGTCAGTTGCGGGATCGAAACCCATCCTTTAGGGTTTAGGGTTTAGGGTTTAGGGGTGTGTCTCGATCCGGAAAGATTGCTTGAACCCTGAACGTTGAACTCCAAACGTGAGACCCCCCAACAGCCGAACCGCTTGTCTGTCGTCATGTGCATGAAGACCTCTTTGGTCAGAAGTCTGCGGAGCTTCTGAAACGAGCATATAGCAGCAAATGTCTATGTATATGTGTGTATGCACACACACATACATATATATATATATGTATATATGTATATGTATATGTATATATAAAGATATATACACCTTCTGAACACGAATTTCTCTCGCAATATGTATATGTATATATGTATATATACATGTATACATTGATGTATGTATTGACTGACATAAACACAGGGCAACTGCCGACATCGATCGTGCGGATAAATCGCTTTTAGGGTAGGGGTCTTAGCAAGCTACCGGTATAGTAGGTGGGAGGGGGTTTGCCTGCAAAAATCCGCGGTTCTTCGCGACCACCTCGTTAATAAGCCGGAGGGCTCGTAGCCGAGGGACACCGCGACCGAGATCTGGGAGTTTCGGCCGCGCTCCGGTCGATATGCCTTGAGGCGGGGGGATTTAGGGTTGTTCTCGACCCCCAAAACCCTGAACGCCAAGATGACAAAAAAACATGGACAAAGCCCGAAAACCTGCGCTGGGGCTTGGTCCTTCAGACTCCCAATCGGCCACCAGCTGACAACGCAACCCCCAAAAAACAAATACATTTGTTAAACAAACAACGCTCAAATGCGCATCTGAATGTGCATGTTTACGCACGTTTTGCATTGGACGAACTAAACGGTTTAAGTTCAGCATCACTCTGATTTGGGTTTCGACCGCAGACAAGGCTCCGGGTTAGGGTTTAGGGTTTAGGGTTTAGGGTTTAGGGTTTAGGGTTTAGGGTTTGGGGTTTGGGGTTTGGGGTTTAGGGTTTAGGGTTTAGGGTTTAGGGTGCATGGCTTAAGCTGCAATGCTTCAAACAGGACCCCTGGTAACGCCTCAAGAATCAGGAAGGGTACCCGTTTTCGTACTATTCAGTTTTGGGAAGGAATCCCCGAAGACTCAAAGGGAATAAGGGTACTACTTGGGACCTAGTCAACAGCAAACCTCAAAACAAGAACCCGAGACGATGCCACGTGCACCCTAAACCCTAAACCCTGAACCCTAAACCCTAAACCCTGAACCCTGAACCCTAAACCCTAAACCCTAAACCCTAAACCCTAAACCCTAAACCCTAAACCCTAAACCCTCACTCCTCGAGTCCCGGGCACCTCTAGCCAGCACTCTTTCACAGTGCTCTCCAAGGCCATCATCGACTTCCTTGGGGTTTCGGGCTTAGCGTTTAGGGTTTAGGGTTTAGGGTTTAGGGTTTAGGGTTTAGGGTTTAGGGTTTAGGGTGTTTGGGGTTTCGGGCTTGGGGCTTGGGGGTTTGGAGTTCGGGTTTTGGGGGCTTGGGGTTTAGGGTTTGGGGTCTGGGGGTTTAGGGTTTAGCCCTTTTAAACCCTAAACCCTAAACCCCCCCGCAAGGGTGGCACAGAAAGAGTTTTTCGCCCCTCGGTGAGGTCCTGAAGATCATTTGAGCGCTGAAATATTCCGGCCCCTAACCTTAAACCCTACGCCCTAATCCCTGAACCCTGAACCTTGAACCCTAAACCCTAAACCCTACACCCTAAACCCTACACCCTAAACCCTAAACCTATATTAGGGGTGGGGGGGGAAGGGGGGGATCAGCTGAGGCGCCGCAGCGCGCTCTCCGTGGCACTGAGGACGAGCTGCTCCAAGTCCCTCAGACAGATTCCACCCTAAAGCCCTACAGTAAACCCTAGCCCTAAACCCCAAAACCTAAGCCTAAACCCTAGCCCTAAACCCTAAACCCTCAGACGGGGTCAGGATACAGGGTTCAGAGCCCCCCGAAAAGCTTTACTGAAAGCACCTTTTGGGGGGGGCAAATAGGTCTTCAGGACTTCAAAGCTAGGGTTTAGGGTTTCAGACTTGGGGTTTAGGCTGTCAGTCCGGATGAGTAGTTTGAGCATAGGGATTCAACGAGCAAGCCAGCACAGGTTTGCGTTTTTTCCTCTTGGTTTTTGGGGTTTCTAGGGTTTAGGGTTTAGGGTTTAGGGTTTAGGGTTTATTTAGGATCGTAGGGTTGGCAGCGCGACCACCAGTTGTACCTTCAACTCAGCCTTATTCCTAAGCCCTAAACCCACGTAGTGAGTCCCGGCCTCGAAGCCCTAAACCCTAAACCCTAAACCCTAAACCCTAAACCCTAAACCCTAAACCCTAAACCCTAAACCGCCAAACCCGAGAGCCCCAGAGGGGCAGGCTTTACCTCAAGAACCCACACCCCTGATTTGGGGAAGCATCTTTGAAGGTGGTTTTGGGGTTTAGGGTTTAGGGTTTAGGGTTTGGGGGTTTAGGGTTTAAGGTTTAGGGTAATAAGGTATAGAGACCCCAACCACAGGTCGTCCGCCCATAGCCCCGAAACAAAACTTCCGGCCCCAAACCCTCAATCCTGGGTGCCTTGGGTGCCGGAATTTCTGGGATTTCGGGGCTTTTGTGGGTTGCTTGGGGACCCTAAACCCTAAACCTAGAACAAAAACCTGAAACCCCAACACCCAGCTCCATGTGTTGGGCTCTTTGGGTTCTTGGGCTCTTTGGGCTTGGGGTTTTGGGTTCACGGCCTCTTTCGGTTCGAGGTGTCTGGGGGATACTACGGACGATATATCGGAACGACATTTCTAGGGGGCACCTCCGGTTTGCCTGAAGCTTTTGAGAAAAGGTGCAGCATCGCCATGTGGATGTTCGGGGACAAGGCGGTCTGCAAAAGAGGGGGCGAAGAGGAAGCAAGGGCAACGGACACTTCACCCAAACCCCAGGCCCGAAACCCGATTGTGCTTAGAACGCACAGGTTCTTGTCCCGATAACTAGGTCGCACCACTCTTCGCAACACCCCTTAACCCCAGCCCTAATCACATGAGCCATGCCATGTGCAGGATATGTGGGGTGTAGGGCTCCGGTTTTGAGATTTGCTTGCTTTTCCATGTTAAGTAAAGCCCACTGGTGGGGTGATCCTACAGTTCGGGGGCTCGACAGCGCACAAGTTACCAAAGAAGAGCCCTCTTATTTAGGACAACCCCAACGTGATCCTTGCGCTGCACACCCTCATGCACTGCAGGTACTCAGGTTTGGGCCTAACAGCCTTCCGACATGCTGGAACAGCTCTCAGGGAGTGTTTTCTTTGGGGGAGAGAGGGGGTAAACCCTAAACCCTAAACCCAGCATGTCCACAAGGGCCCCCCCTAAATTCCTGAAAGCCGCGACCCGGGTCTGCCAGCCAAGGCGATGTAGGCGCTGCCTACCCCTGCTTAAACCCGATCTCAGGGATTCCCTTAAACCCTTAAACCCCTAAACCCCTAAACCCCTAAACCCCTACACCCCTAAACCCCTAAACCCCTAAACCCCTAAACCCCTAAACCCCTAAACCCCTAAACCCCTAACCCCTAAACCCTAAACCCTAAGCCCTAAACCCTAAACCCGAAACCCGAAACCCGAAACCCGAGACCCGAGACCCGAGACCCGAAACCCGAAACCCGAAACCCTAAACCCTAAACCCTAAACCCTAAGCCCTAAACCCTAAACCCTAAACCCTAAACCCTAAACCCACCCATCGCCCGCCTCGGTGGCAGGGCTTTCCTGCAGGGGCTCAGGGCTTTTGGGCTCTTCCTGGGGCTCCAGGATGAAAGAGGCTGGCGGTTTAGGGTTTAGGGTTTAGGGTTTAGGGTTTAGGGTTTAGGGTTTAGGGTTTAGGTTTAGGGTTTAGGGTTTAGGGTTTAGGGTGGCCCACTGGAACAAGCAGCCCTAAACCCTAAACCCCAAGCCCTAACCCCCCCCCAAAAAACACTAAACCCTAAACCTAAACCCTAAACCCTAAACCTCAGAGGAGCTAGACCGTCACAAGCCCAAAGATCCTTCTATAGAAGCCGGGTGGTTCGAACCCACCTTGGCGAACGCCTTTTTGAGCCTAAACCCTAAACCCTAAACCCTAAACCCTAAACCCTAAACCCTAAACCCTGAACCCTAAACCCCAAAAACCAAAACCCCACAAACCCTAAACCCTGTAACCCTACCTGGGACCCTAGTTTGGCTACTACTAAACAGTTTGGTGAACCCTAAACCCTGTAAACCCTATAACCCTTATTCCTGCTTTCAGGATCCCCCACCCGGTCCTGTGAAACTCGTGAGTCTCACCCTAAACCCTAAACCCCAATATTCCTGCTCTGTGGCGGTCCTGTGAAACGCGTGAGTCTCTGGTGGGATAGCGCGGAACGTCCACCTCAGGGTCGTTGGCCGGCTCATCCTCGGTCATGATAGGGCTTTGGGGCTTTGGGTTTCAGGTTTCAGGGTTTCAGGGCTTCGGGTTGAGGGCATGATATGGTGGTGTAGGGTACCCTAAACCCTAAACCTTAAACCCGAAACCCCAAACCCTAAACCCTAAACCCTAAACCGTTTCAGGGTTTGGGGTTCCGGGGCCCAAGCATCGGGGTTCTTGGAGGTTCTTTTGGGATCTGGGGCGTTTGGAGTTGGCCCGGGCTGGGTATTCCTAATGTAAGGATTCTGTAAAGACGACATCTAGATTGCCCAGTAACCTAGGATTAAAAAGGGTGCCCTTCTTTGCTTAAAGGGGTTGATAGGGGACCCTAGAGCCCCCCCAAAAGGGAGTAAGGGAAAGACTGGGCATCCTAGACATATAGACTCCTTTTGTGTACCCCTGCCAGATTTTTAGGTTGCCCAGGAAAGCAAAGCGCCTTCTTAGGAGTAGCCATGTTTGGGGGTTCCCTTCAAGGGGCTGCTGTTCTACTTGGGGGTATGAGCTGTAAAGATTCTTCCTTATAAGGGCAATACAGGTATTGTTTTACATCAAGAGTCTTCCTGAATCGTGTATTTGAAGATTCTTCCTTGTAAGGGCAATATAGGTATCAATACATGTTATTCGAAGATTCTTCCTTGCAAGAGCAATATCGGTATGAATGTCTTGTATCTTAAGATTCTTCCTTATCAGGGCGATATAAGCATTAACAATCTTTATTTGAAGATTCTTCCTTATAGGGGCAATATGGGCATTGGTATCTTCTGTTTTTTAACCCTAAACCCCAAACCCTAAACCCAAAAGAAGGGGCTTCTTACGCAAAATAGTAGTAACGAAACACAGATACCTCCCTTGCTGTGTTGTAAATGACAATTCTAACTTGGAGTTCCCTTGAAAGGTTTAGGGTTTATAGGGTTTAGGGTTTAGGGTTTAGGGTTTAGGGTTTAGGGTTTAGGGTTTAGGGTTTCGAGCTTGGGGTTTAGGGTTTAGGGTGTAGGCCTCCCCTGCTTGCCGAGCATCAGCGGGAAGGGGGTCCTTGCCGAGGGTCCTGGCATCCAGCACAGAACCTCGAATCCTAAACCCTCTAAACCCTAAACCCTAAACCCTAAACCCTACACCCTAAACCCTAAACCCTAAACCCTAAACCCTAAACCTCAGTTGCGCACTCCTGCGCTGCACCAAGTGGCCTCCGTGTTTGTTGGATCCTTAAAGGTTTAGGGTTCAGGGTTTGGGCTTGTACCCCGGAGTGGCTGCAAGCAATGGGGCGATCCATCGTAGGCCAACCGGCCATAAAAGAAGAGGTCCTAAACCCTAAGCCCAAAGCCCTAAGCCCTAAACCCTCAACGCTAAACCCTAAACCCTAAACCCTAAACAAGCATGCCAACCTTTACGTGGGAGACGTACGCTCCCAAGAGAGCCAAGCAAGAAACTGAAATGGCCAATTCACATGGTGTGAGGAGCTCCTGTCCACCCCCCGCCCCCCTTAAAGGACCTTCTAAGCTTAGAGAACTGCCCTGTTCCCCTGCCCCCCCCCCCCCTCCCCCCCCCCAAATAAATACAACCCACCATGGCCATACTAAACATAGAAGGAAACCCCAATACCCCCTTTGGTCCTGGGTTGTGTCTTGGAAGATGCCGTTGGCCTTAGCAGACCAGTTTCGAGCTCAATCTGGGTGTTACAAGCTCTATAGGGCACACTGATGACTCCCTAGCAAGGCCGATGAGGCACGGCCATATACCTGGGGAACCAAAGGAACATGGTTCATATACCTTAAACCCTAAACCCTAAATCCTAAACCCTAAACCCTGAACCCAGGGTATAGATGTTCCCAAATGATACGGTTCCTTTGGTTTCCAAGTATGACATAAGATCTACGGAGGGAACAGTAATTGCTTCGGCGGCTCCATTGAGGTTTGGACGGTAGGATTTCTTAGGGCTCGTTTGGGCATACAGTTGTGGGGCCTTAGGGTTTTAGGGGTTAGGACCCTAAACCCTAAACCCTAAACCCCAAACCTAAACCCTAAACCCTAAACCCTATAGGAGTTGAGGGGCCTCGGGGCGCGAATATTCTCAAAAGTTCTCAAAAGTTTTCCCGAAGTTACGGGGCGCAGCGAGGAACGACGCCACACCTTTCGCCGCTTGCCATTCACTTCAAATACCCTCCCTTTGTTTGGCAACATCAATGGGGTGACGATTTGAATCAAGATGAAAAATCCTAAGTACAGCTGCGAGCAGACCGGGAACTACAATCACTGAGCCCTACAATTCATATACCACACGCCTTGGGAGGGGAAAGGGCCGTGTTGCCAGCATGTCGGATTGAAGCCAGTGACCCAAAGTGATGATCCGTCCGCACGGACTCTCGAGCCACGTGGTGCAGCACATGCGCGATCTGGTCAATCCTGCCAAAGTTGGAGCTCGCTTTCGGGTTTACTTGTAGGGGAGTAGGGGCCAGGGGGTTTAGGGCTCTTCTCCGAACCAACAGCCTTTATTTGCAGCAGGCCTTGCATGATACTGTTACAAGTGCTTTTCACCTAACACGTGCCCACAAAACAAGGGTTAGAGAGGTCTCTCAAGGCATTTAGGGTAAACCGCTTTCATCGCGGCCAACCGCTTTTATTGCCACCAGCTCATGAGCAGCTCACCATCCCCACATATCCCCACCCATCCCAATCCCCCAGTAAAACATCGACGTTCAACACTGCGCTCTTCGCTGCACGGTGCTTTTCAAGTTGCTAGAGTACACCCGCCACCTTCCACTGCATGGTTCTGTTGTGGCACATAGGTCACATGTGTCGATGGTGCGTTTCACACTCCTGCTGCGCCCCCCCCTCCCCCCCCCCCCCAGCCCCCGCCGGGCTCGTTATGTTTACACTTGAAAACGTTGCCCTTCAATGTCCCACACCGGCGGCCCCCACGATCCTCACTCTCTTTCCGTTCGGTGTGGAACAGTGACGGCGGGGGGGGGGGGGGGCAATCATCCATTTTGCTTGCTCTACCAGGGTGTATAGTGATGATGGTTTCGGGGATTGTGTGCTTGCTCTTTGTCTCCAACTTCGTTAAAACCCGTCTCCCCATTTTTTGACGCAGCCTGTACCTTTTGATCTTGGACTGTTGCGGCTGTAAGTTTGTTGTAACCTCGGTGAAGAACCTCGGCTGTGAATCGGCGATCTTTGTGTGTGTGTGTGTCCCAGACGCCACTGCGAAGAGACTGGTCGAGGCTTTCTCGTGGGAAATGGGGTCCCTAAACCCTAAACCCTAAACCCTAAACCCGAAACCCCAAACCCCAAACCCCTAAACCCCAAACCCCTGTCCTGGAGGCCAGGTGGTCGAACTGCATGTGCGTCGCTTCTTGCAGCTCCTCCTGCATCTGAATCGTCCGGAGCATGTTGTACCTGTTAGAGCTCGGAATCTTCAAAACGAGCTGGGGTTTAGGGTTTAGGGTTTAGGGCCGTTTAGGGTTTAGGGTTTAGGGTTTAGGGTTTAGGGTTTAGGGTTTAGGGTTTAGGGTTTAGGGTTTAGGGTTTAGGGGTAATCCAAGACCCCGAACCCGAAACCCCAAACCCTAAACACGAAACCCTAAACCCTAAACCTGACACCCCTAAACACGAAACCCTAAACCCTGACTCCCCTAACCCTAAACCCTAAACCCTAAACCCTAAACCCTAAGCCCGGGGGTCACTTGATGAAGCGCGGCGCGGTCGTCGACTCGTGCACCCAGCGACTGAGGGGCGCGATGAATTCTGCGGCCTGTGGATCTTTAGGGGCGCTTTGGGGAGAGCTTGGTTAGGGTTTAGGGTTTAGGGTTTAGGGTTTAGGGTTTAGGGTTTAGGGTTTAGGGTTTAGGGTTTAGGGTTTAGGGTTTAGGGTTTAGGGTTTAGGGTGTAGGGTGTAGGGCTTAGGGTTTAGGGTTTAGGGTTTAGGGTTTAGGGTTTAGGGTTTAGGGTTTAGGGTTTAGGGTGGAATTAGGGTTTAGGGTGGCGAGGGCTTCTTTTTTGGATGGGGGTCAATGGTTTTGGGCGCTAGGGGAGTTTAGGGGTTTTAGGGATTCTTTTGTTCGGGCTTGGGGGGTTGGGGGGGGGGGGGGGGGGGGGCTTCGGGGGTTTAGGGGTTGTCTGGGCTTGGGGGGTTTAGGTTTAGGAGTTTTGGTTTTGGGGGCTTGGGGGGTGTTAAGGTTTTAGGGGTTCGGGGGCTTGGTTTTAGAGGTTGAGGGCTTTTGGGGTGTTGAGGAGTTCAGGGGTTTGAAAGGTTTGGGCTGTGCCGCTTTGAAAAATCCGGGTTAAGAAGTAGGGATTTATGTTATAGGGGATAGGCTTATGGTTTCGGATTTTCGGGGCTTTGGGTTGGTTTTGAGTTCTAGGGTCTCAAGGAGAACGGCTGGACGCGAGAGTGCCACCTGTGTCCAGACTAGCCCATTGAAACGGCCTGAATAAGGTCCTCCTAAACGCCCTAAGCCCTAAGCCCTAAACCCTAAACCCTAAACCCACCCGAATGTAAGTTCTTATGTCACGCAATCTCTCCCGAATGTAGATGGCGTGAGAAGGTGGTCGAGAAATTCACATCGAAGGATTGTGTTCCATCCAAAGAGGTTGCACGAGTACCTTGCCAATTCTCCTAAACCCTCAACCCTCGACCCTCGACCCTAAACCCTAAACCCTAAACTGCAAACCCTGAACCCTAAAACCCTAAGCTCTTAACCCTTTGAACCATTCGAAGCCTTCGATCAGCCCTGAACCCCTCCGACCCGAGTACCTAACTCTGTAGTCTGCAGTCCTGAATATGATCCCAGCAAGGGACAATTATAAAACTATCTCAAAGGCCTACCCGAAGGTAGAAACGGACTCGCCCTAAACCCTAAACCCTGAACCCTAAACCCTAAACCCTAACTCCTGGCCTCGATCTCTCCCTCCGAGTGGATGTCGATCATCTCGAACAGCTGCTGCAAGTCGGCCTGCCACGCGACAGAGTTTAGGGTTTAGGGTTTAGGGTTTAGGGTTTAGGGAATCTTTCCTATGGGGACCTTCATATACCTTCATGCGCCCTTTCTTGGTAGTATAGGGTATATGACCCCAATTTTAGGGTTCATTTGGTCCCCAAGGTGTGTCTGAAGTGGGCAGCACCACCATGTGGAGGTAATCCTTCTGCCAATACGCCCTTAACCACCTACACCCTGCACTCTAAACCCTAAACGCCAACAACACCCTAAGACCCCAAACTACCGTTTCTTTGCATCAAGCTTGCATGTCGCACCCTAAACCCTAAACCCTAAACCCTAAACCCTAAGCCGGAGGCTTGTGGGATGCGACTCATGTCCCTGGCCTCGTCGATGTCCATGACGCGGAGCCTGGTTTAGGGTTTAGGGTTTAGGGTTTAAGGTTTAGGGTTTAGGGTCTAAGGGTTATATAAGGGTTTAGGGTTTAGGCTTGAGGATTTAGGGTTTAGGGTTGAGGATTTAGGGTTTAGGGGTCTAGGGTTTAGGGTCTAGGGGTTTAGGGTACAGGGTTTAGGGTTTAGGGTCTAAGGGTTTAGGGTTCAGGGTTTAGGGGTTTGGGGATTTAGGGGGTTATTTAGGGTTAAGAGTTAAGGGTTAAGGGTTAAGAGCTAGGAGTTAAGGGTTTTTGGTTTCGGGGGTTCAGGGTGCAGGTTTTTGGGGTTTAGGGTTCAGCGGGTTTAGGTAAGTTTAGGTAGGGGGTTTAGGGTTTTGGGTTCTGAGTTTAGGGGTTTAGGGTTTAGGATGGTTTAGGGTTTAATGTTGACTTCGCATTAATAAACCCCCCCCCTTGATTGATCAATCTCTCCGGCCAGGGCCTCCTCAATTATATTCGCCTAAATCCTGGTAGGACGTAGTATTAGTTTTAGTATTAGGTAGTAGTAACACCCTGAAACTTAATTATAAGTTTAAGGTCATTACAAAACATCGCCCGTACAAAAAAAATATTCCGGGCTTGATTTTATAATTGTGGGGGGCTATATTATTGTGTTCCGGCAGCTGGATTTTATAATTGTAGCGGGAATTCCTAATGTGAAGTCAACATTAGGGTTCAGGGTGCAGGGTTCCGGGTCTAGGGTTTAGGGGTTTAGGTAGGGGGTTCAGGGTTCAGGGTTTCGGGTTTAAGGTTTGGGGTGTAGGGTTTGGAGGTTTATAGGGTTTAGGGGTTAGGGGTTTAGGCTGTAGGGTTTAGGGGTTTAGGGGTTTAGCGTTTAGGGTTTGCGTTCGGGTGTTCCGTGGCCACGTCATGGGACTGGCAATCTCCACAAGGGTGCTCGGGTTCGGGGGTGTCGGGTTCGGTGTTTCCTGAGTTTAGGATACGGCTTCAGGGGTTTTGGGTTAGGGCAAAATCCTCCACCGGAACAAATGGAAGCAGCAAGACACCTTGCCACACTGAGCCTTTTCAGCAGATCCACATGTCCATCTAGATGACCCCTAAACCCCAGCGCCCAAAGCAAAGGCCCAGAGAAGTTTTAGAGTTGAGGGCTTCAAGGTTTAGAGAATTGGGTGTTGTAGGGCTTAGTGATGAGGATCCAATAGGCTTTTTTGGGAAGCTCCTTTCGCAGGGTTTTGAGAGATGAGCATGATCGCTGCCTGCTCTGGAACTGCGGATCTTTCCGCGCGCCCTCAACAAGCTCCTGGCAGGGCGCGTGTGGCTTGGGGCTTAACAGCTCGCGACGAACTCCAAACCAAAGATTGAGCTTTGTAGACCCAAAGCCCGAAGCTACACCGTACAGTCTACATGTACAACCCCAAACCTAACCCCTCACATGCCCTATTTCCCCACCCTGAAGTTTGAGGGCTTGGGGTTTTTGGAACTCCGGTTTAGGTTTAGGAGTCTTGTGTCTTCAGGGTCCTATAAGTTTGCGAGAGACGTCTTGGGAAGGTTTACTTCTCGGCGCCAGCTGGCACTAGTTTAGGGCTTAGCGCTTGTCAGAGCTGTGAGCCTTGGATTCAGTCTCTTCCACGCTTAGCCCTACTGGAAAGCAGTACCCGGTCACAAAAAAATAGTCCCCTAAACCCTAAACCCTAAACCCTAAACCCTAAACCCTAAACCCCTAATAAGGGCTAAACCCTACAGCCTCCAACTGGCCTCCGACGCGACCCATGGCCACAAAATCTTCTGCACTTTGGAGCACACGCGCAAACCTACTCTCTTGACCCTCTCTCTCTCTCAGGCATTCGAAACGTCAAGCCTGCCAGGGACAGCTTTCGTGGCTACCCCCGTGAAAGTGTAAGCGAAACAGTCAGAAGTGTGCGAATTACTGTGAGTAAGAGCAAGGGCATGCAGCAACAGCCATTAGAAGCCCTAACCTCTAGACCCGGTCTGTTGAAGCCTAGGCCCTGACATCCCCTGAAAACCCAAAGATCCCGAAACCCTAAACCCTAAATCCGAAGCCCTAAAACCCCTAAACATAACCCTCAACCCTGAAATGGCCAAAAACGCTGAACCCTGAAAAGCCCCTAAACCCTAAACCCTAAACCCTAAACCCTAAGCCCTAAACCCTAAACCCTCTGAATAGCCCCCGGGCGCCACCTCCAAAGTGACCCGACCACTGCCGTCTGTGTCGATGCGCTCGAAGATCTTTTGCAGGAACTTCCTGCGCCGGTTTAGGGTTTAGGGTTTAGGGTTGAGGGTCTAGGGTTTAGGGTTTAGGGTTGTCCAGCGAAAGCTCCCTCATCTCCTCTAACCCGACATCGCCCCCCCCTCTCCTCCCCCCGCACCCGGCCCAAACAAACCTTAGGGTTTAGGGTTTATAGGGTTTAGGGAGTAGGATTTAAGGTTTAGGGTGACTTGCAGACTGCCAGAAAACCCTAAACCCCTAAACGCCCCAAAGACGACCCAACCCCTCTGGAGCCCAACGCCCCCAAACCCAATCTGAAACCCACGTCCGACGAAAAGCGTTGGGAAGTCAGCCCTGCTCTGAAATACTTAGGGTTTAGGGTTTAGGGTTTAGGGCTTAGGGTAGGATTTAGGGTGTATACTTCGCCCTAAACCCTAACCCTAAACCCTAAACCCCAAACCCTAAACCCTAAACCCGGTCTTGTCGCTCTCGATCTCATGCTCCATCTCTTCTGCCAAGTTCAGCACATCCCTCTGCCGAACTTCGGCGAAGGTGTCTACCTGAGCTTTGAGGCTCAAGCTTGGGTTTAGTTTCAGGTTTAGGGTTTAGGGTTTAGGGGACCTGCCTAGCTGACCCAAAAAGTTCCAGGTATAGGGTCTGGGGCCTACTGTTCAAGATATTGGAGGCCACCAACTCTCTAGCCCTTCCCAACCCTAACAACTATGAAGTTCCCTAACCCCTAAGCCTAAACCCTAAACCCTAAACCCTCATAACATCTCATAACTACCTGAAGGTTGAACGGAAGACCCTGGAGCGATGAGAAGGCGACGAAACCTGGTGGGCTGCCCCATGGTCCGTTTTGTGGCCCCCACCTATCCTACTAGAACCCTATTGCGGCATATAAATTGGAATGTTCCCCCTTATACTAGTAGTCCTTAATGGTGATCATAGTGCCCCCACTACAATCCCCATGAAGGACTGTTAGCATACGGGGCAACATCCACCATAAGCCCTTCATTTGGTCCCCGAGGCCTCCACAGACATCCCAACAGCGCGTTCAGGGCATCTTAGGGTTTAGGGTTTAGGGTTTAGGGTTTAGGGTTTAGGGTTTAGGGTGTCTTCTAGCAGAACTAAAGGTTAACCTTCGGGATTCTGTACGGATTCTAGTACCCTGGAAAAGGCTTCCAGGTTACCCACTCTCCTGCTCTACACTCCCCTTAGAACCTTAATGAATACAGTATGTTTAATATCCTCTTGGGTTTTACAAAAATAAACAACGATTCCCAAGGGGGATATAGTACTCTGCTACCAAGTAGTAATTAGTCCCCCAAAAGGCCTCACCCCAAAAGAAATCACCCTGGACCCTAAACCCTGAACCCTAAACCCTAAACCCTAAACCCTAAATAGCTCCGAGCTGCGACGACTGCAACGATGAGGTTCAGCACGCCAAAGACGAGCGTTAACAGGGATCCTTCAAGGGTTTAGGGTTTAGGGTTTAGGGTTTAGGGTTTGGGGCTTAGGGTTTAGGGTTTGGGGTTCAGGGTCTGGGGTTTAGGATTCAGGGTAGGTTTAGGGCATAAACGATATCACTCGGTAAGATTTTGGGTGCTCAGCCACACTTTTGGTTGATCCCCCAACACCTCATGGGGGGTCGCCGGCCGCAAACCAACAATGGGTTTAGGGTTTAGGGTTTAGGGTTTAGGGTTTAGGGTTTAGGGTTTAGGGTTTAGGGAAGCCCCGAACCGCATATGGAATCACACCACTGCATCGGAATCGGCCGAAAGATCCTAAAAACACTAAACACCCCCTAATGGGCCCTTTTCCGAAGCCTTGTAGACATGCTTTAAGTTTAAGCCATGGCCTACATGCCTTGAAGGGAATTTTAGTACGTAGTATTTCTCGCTTTCAATTAAGTTTCTTTGGGTTAGGTCCTTTTGGGTTGGTTCTTCGCGCGACTGTTAGAGGCTCTCCGAGATTCGGGATTTCGAGGTTGGGGCGGGATGTCGCAGAAAGGAGTCGCCCAGCTATTGTAGGTCTTCCGGTTTCCGTGTGAAGAGGACTTTTTGGCTGCTGCAGATGTTGAGGGTTTTTGGGCAAAGGTTCGGGTGCAGCGTAGGATCTGGGAGCTCAGAACCCTAAACCCTAAACCCTAAACCGTGCCCTCCCGGGCGCCTACGAAGATGATGGCGGTTCCCGGGGAGAACTCGATGACAGGGACGGCGATGTCCCCCCAGCTATCCCCGGCTATGACCTTAGCTTTTCCACCCCTCAGAACCATCTTCCGCAGACACAAGAGGGGCTTCTAAGGGAACCTGCACCCTAAAAAAAGGGAATAAGGGCTTAAGGGCCAGAGTAGTGTGGGGTTTGGATGAGCTCCAAGGCAATATCAAATCGTTCCTCAGTTTTGGGGTCTCTAGGCTACTATATTCTTGTAGTTAAGTTTAATTAAGGTGCCAAGTAGGAAGGTGCCATGATGTAGCTCAACCCCCATGTGGCAGATGCCCTGGAGTTGGTGAAGGCGTTCTCTGCTTTGGCAAAAAGATCCGTGACACGGCGAGCGCATGGCGAAGTGCGATGCATGATTTTGCTCTCTGAACTTCCCTTCTATAGAGCCCAAGACCTCAATTGCCTGCATTGATGTCGCCCCTAAACCCTAAACCCTAAACCCCAAACCGCAAACCCCTAAACCCCTAGACTAAACCCCTAAACCCCTAAACCCCTAAACCCCTAAACCCCTAAACCCCTAAACCCCTAAACCCCTAAACCCTCGACCTCAACCCGCTTGGTGTTGCCAACTGCACGTGGCCGGGCTGCCGTCTGAAACAAAAGAAGGTTGGAGTTCATCACGGAAGAGGTGGCCGACAGGCATTTCTCGCAATCCTCGCGCGGCTGCCAGCTTACGCAACGCAGGGACGCGCCCGCGTCTGAGACGTGGCAACACTTATAAGCCCTAGGGGGGTTTGGGGGTTAAGGGTTTTAGGGTTTTAGGCTTTGGCGTTTGGGCTTTATGGTGGACTGAAGGTTCAGGACTAGTCATCCGTTCTAATAACATAAATGGAAGGATCGCCAGGGTTCCTTCGAAGCTGGAGGCTCCCCAAATTTCCCAGCGAGTTGGGTGCTGCGAGCCCATGTGCAGGGATCACTGGGTAGCCAAGCTATACTCCCCTTAGAATCGTAATAAACATGTCATTTTTGATATCCTCTTGGGCTTTCGATAAAAAAAATAGTTCCCAAGGGGACATAGCAAGAACTTCTGAGCGTGCCTTGCTATTGATCATAACGTCCCAGAGCTGCTTCACGCCAGTGCTTCTCCACACCCGCAAGACCGAGGAAACCCTAACCCTGAACCCTGAACCCTAAATCCGAAGTCCTAAACCCTAAACCCTAAACCCTAGCCCTAAACCCTAAACCCTAAACCCTAAACCCATCTATGGCACTCCTGGAAGGCCACCTCGTTGTCCCGCATCTCCTTCATGATCGGATGGACGATCTCTACCAAAAGCATGGCCCATATGGTCATGATCACCTCGGGGGGACGGGTTTAGGGTTTAGGGTTTAGGGTTTAGGGTTTAGGGTTTAGGGTTTAGGGTTTAGGGTGATGGGGCGAACCGTTTTTGAACCCAGATTCGGACAAGCTTGCTGGGACTCCTGGACAATGGGTGAACCCTAAACCCGAACCCTAAACCCTCGTCAAGACCTCCAACTCAGGAGTTTCCTGGCACTTTACAGGCGCCCTACACACAAAACCCTAAACCCTAAACCCCAAACCCTAAACCCTAAACCCCAAACCCTAAACCCTAAAACCCCAAACCCTAAACCCTAATCTCCAGCTGGAGCTAAGGTCGAAACCTGCCTGAGCACCAATCTCGTTTCGGAAAAAACACTCCCCTGTCGTTTCCTGGAAGAAGCTTCCCCAAAAGGACCCTTCTTGCGATCCTGTAGGCATGCAGTACCCCTTTTTGATCCCGCGGGCCCCCTAAACCTGAAACCCTAAACCCTAAGCCACCTACATCTCCCCCAAGCAAACCCCACAAAGCCACAAAGACCTGAACGTATCCACGTGCTGGCTCGGGCCACGAAGCAGAAGATGAAGGACCAAGCCAAAGCCTACGTTACAGGATTTTTGGGCAGGGGGGGGGGGGGGGAATTCGGGGGGTAGGGTTTGACCGTTTAGGGCTGAAAAAGGTCTGAAGGGTCTTAAAGCGATTTGTTTGGGGGTCTTAGGGTTTTTGGGGTTCTGCGCTTTTTTAATGTCTTCTTGATGTCAGTGTACAAGATTATCCGGGTTTCCGGGGCTGAGGCGGTTGGGTGGCTTGGCTTTGGTGCGCTTGGGGAGTGCGGGTTGAGGGGCCTGTCTTGTAGGGCTTATTGCTATCCTTATTCTGTTTTTATGAATGCTTAATCGTATATATAAACATATAAATATAAGTATAAATATGAAAAATGAATACATAAAAAGAAACATGAAAATATAATTATAAATACGAATATAAATATAAATATGAATATAGATATAATGCAAATATAAATATAAATATATAAATATAAAAAAATAAATAATAAATAAATAAGTAAATATATATATATATATGAATGACAAAAAATGGGGGGAGGGGCCCTCGCAATGGCCCTTTGTGTGTCAGGTTGGTGGGGGGGGGGGGGGGGGGGCACACCGAGGGTTTTCAGCACATGTAGCTGTTGATAGCAGGTGTTTCAAGTATGTGCTTGTTCAAAGGTTGTTGAACTCCGAGTGCCCTTGTGGGTTGAGGGTGCTGTTTTGCCACAGGTTTTGTGGTTCGGGTTTAGGGTTTAGGGTTTAGGGTTTAGGGTTTAGGGTTTAGGGTTTAGGGTTTAGGGTTTAGGGTTTCAGATTTAGGGTTGCATCGTGAGGCCCCGTCAAGTTTGACATGCCTTTCAGCACGTCTATTCCGGCTTCGGGGGTCGGATAATGGCCGTCCCACCCTAAATCCTCAACCCTATAAGCCCTAAACCCTATAACCCTAAACCCGATAGGTCTGAATCTATTCATGCCCCTCGGTGGGCGAGTGGCCTTCAAGCATGTCGCCATCATAGTTACAAGCTTCTGGAGCTCGCGCAGCGCACGCGTCCTGGAACACAGGCACTGCATCGGGCCCAACCTCGGGGACCAGATGATAGGGGGTTTACGAACATGGGGGGACCCCCAGAATAGATCCCCCAAAATAGTAGGATCCCCTGATCATAAGGACCCCAAGAAGGTACCCCTTCATGTCGGAAATCCCCCAGATGAACCATTTTATAAACCCTTTTTTTAGGGTCTGTTTGGTCGGCTTAAGGAACCCCAACCCCATCCCTGGCATCCTAAACATGAAGCCTTTGAAGTCTGTACAAGCATCACAAGAAGAAGCAGGATGGCTATGGATCTAGCGGGTTTAGGGTTTAGGGTTTAGGGTTTAGGGTTGTTTAGGGACGGCTAAACCTTTCAACATCCAGCATCTCTGCCTCGCTTCCAAGCACTTCTCAAAACCATCTACCTCGAGATCAGGTCTTCTTTTTTCAGCAGCCCTTTTGCATCCAGGCTTGGGTGAGCGTGCCGGGAAAGAGCTCATGCTGCCCAGGTTCCCTAAACTCCGAAAACCTCAACCTTGAACTCTCTAAACCCTCACCATTGTCCCAAGGTTCAGGGTGTATCGGGAGCCCGACCCTAAACCCTGAACCCGAAAGCCTAAGCCCTAAACCCTTGTCTGGTCCTCCGCAGAAGTCGCATTAGGCCTGGGGGGGATACCAGGCATCCGATGCTTCGGACGATTTTGTGTTTTGTGCTTGGGGGTTTTAGGGTTTGGGGTTTTTGGCTTGAGGGTTTTAGGGCTTTGTTTAGGGCTTTCGGGCTGCACGGCTGAAGGGTTCTAGAGTTTTTGGGTTTTCAGAATTACGGCTCTAGGCACTGTACACAAGTTCGCTAGCAGCTCCATGGGTGTAGGAGGCATGGTTTGGGGTGCTTTTTTGCCACCTGCCTAGCAGCCTCGGGCTTGAAGGCTTGGAGGTTTGGGGGCTTGTGAGCCAACCGCACCGCTGGACGAACCGCGTTTCGCGTGCTCAGGGATCCATCCAGATCCCATACACAGTTTAGGGGGGTTTTAGGGTTTAGGGTTTAGGGCTTAGGGTTTAGGGTGTAGTTTGGGGAGAGGAGGTTGTTGAGCTCGACCTGGACCCTTCATCTCATTGTCCTTTCTTTGTTCATGCGCTGAAATTCTCGGTGCTTCCCCACTTTGAACTGCAAGTTATAAGGTCTGATCCTGAACTCTACAACTTTCTCAGCCCCGACGTCTTGGGGGCCGATAAGGGGTTTAGAGCCTCAACCCAGAAACCCTAACCCTAAACCCTACACCCCAAACCCTAAACCCTAAACCCCAAACCCCAAACCTTGCTCTACCTTATACCGTCTCTTGCCGCCAGCGGGCGGATGATTCGCGCGAGGCGGAGCACCCGCAGCATACTGAAGCTGGCGATGAGGTCGCCCGGTGCAAACAAATTCCTGAGATCTTCGCCATAAAGCCCTATAAACCCTCCTAAATCCAAGCCGTAAACCCTCACTGTATACCCTAAGCCTTGTAACCCCAAAACCCTCCGAAATCCTAACAGCAGAATTTTGGAGAAAAAAGCTCGAGTTACTGAACGGGTTCAGGCCCGGCGCGTTCCAGAGCTTTGTTCTTCTTGTAGGTTATTGCTCGCAGCCCCCGCTTTATAAGATTCTCATCGAACTATATGGCTTAGGGCGCAATAGGTAGGGATGACGTTCTAAGTCGGTTCTTGTGGTAAGGAAACTCGACCACCGACCAGTTTGAAGGAGCTGCCGTCTAGACGCTACTGGGATTTTGAGGGAGCTTCCTTGAGGGTTAAGGGTTTGGGACTCAGGCACCAGCGCTGCATGCAGCCGAGCAGCTAGTGACTACCTAGTGGGAAGTGCCTACTGCCACGAAGTGCCCTGCCCTTCCCCTCTTCACCACCTAGCCGGCCGAGGCACAACAGCAGCTCGGCATAGCCGCAGAAGATGATAACAATGTCCAGAATCACCATCCAGTCTTTCAGAAGCTGCCTTCCCTGTACATACCTTGGTGTTGATGCTTTTCAGCGCTTGGGCTTTAGCGGTATGAAGTCGACTGTGAGGCTTTGAATCTCGAGGTCATGGATATGAATTGACAGAAATGTTCAAGAATAAAAGTATATTGCAAAAAAGTATATGGCAAAAGTACCAGGCGGATTGTAAAGATCAGAAGCAGGCGCGCGACTTAGAAGCAAGGTGTACGATCTAAAAGTGAAACTGACGGTGAATCACAGCCCTACAGTCCCTCAGCCCTGTACTCCAAACACCCTAAACCCTAAGCCCGAAACCCCAAACACAAGAAGCCCTAAACACCAAAAACCCTAAACCCTAAACCCTAAACCCTTGACACCGAAAGCCCTAAACCCTATTATCTGGGCTCCCACCCGACGGCCAGGAGAGCTGAAGGGTGTCGGTTTTCGTTTGAGGAGACACCCTCAAGACACCCCCAAGAACCCTCAACAAAAAACCCTAAACCCTAAACCCTAAACCCTAAACCCTAAACCCTAAACCCTAAGCCTAAACCCTAAAGCCCCCAAGCTCGAATCGTAACTGCATTCCACTGGCCGGCTCTTGGTAGGGAACGAGGGAATGACATACCCTATGCAATCCCTTAAAGGTAGATATGAATTTCACTCATTCCCTACCAAGAACCAAGGGATCTCATAATTCCCTCATTCCCTACTAAGAACCAGGACCCTAAACCCTTACACCCTTTTGACAAACCCTAAACCCTAAACCCTAAACCCTAAACCCTAAACCCTAAACTCTAAACCCTAAACCCTAAACCCTAAACCCTAAACCCTAAACCCTAAACCCTAACCCTAAACCCTCAACCCCAGGTCCAGTTCGGCTCCGGTGCAGGAGAAGTCCCAGCTCGATTGTGTACAAAGCTAAGCAGAAGTCGGACACCTTGAGCAGGGGGTTGAAGGATTTGGGTTTAGGGTTTAGGGTTTTAGGGCTTTTAGGGTTTGAGGGTTTGAGGGTTTTAGGGTTTTAGGGTGTTTGGGTTTTAGGGTTTTAGGGTTTTAGGGTTTTGGGGTTTTAGGGTGATTGGGTTTTAGGGTTTTAGGGTTTTAGGGTGTTAGGGTGTTAGGGTTTTAGGGTTTCAGAGTCCTTGGGTTTCGCTGCAAGTACTTCGCCTCCGCGAACCCTCAACGCCTGGGCTCCTCTATGCAATTCCGAAGTAGAAAGCCTCACTGGGTTTAGGTTTTTTTCCCACCTGACTAGCCAGCAGCAATGGGGTCATCGTTACGGCAACCGGAGAAAACTGCCAGCTAAACGCCAGGCTTGTCCAAGGACGGGTTTAGGGTTTAGGGTTTAGGGTTTAGGGTTTCGGGTTTCGGGTTTAGGGTCAACCCCAACCTAAGCACCCCAAGCAACCTAAGCCCACTCCAAAATTCCGCAGTTGCCATGCTCGAAGGGGTTTTGGAGTTTAGGGACTCGGGTTCGAACCCCCAAACTAAGCCCTAAAGCGCTGAACCCTATAACCTCAACACCAAGCCCAAACCGGAGAGAAGTACAGGAAACCATGAGGGACACTACGCTGGCCCGCGAGCCCTTCTGAAACAGATTCCTGATACAGATTAGCCATGATTAGCCTGTGCCCAAAGGTTTTGCGTCTGAACGGATGTTTGGGGTCAAACAACAAAATCCTAAACCAGGCTTTCTTACAATGTCTGCTAAAAACTATGCGACTTCCCTACTACTGAGGGCGACGCAAAGCAGAAATACAACAGTGCATTACTAGAGTCACATGCGAAGCTGCGTCCGACACCCGGTGAGGCAGGATGCGTCCACACTGACAACACGGCAGAAAGCATGGTCTCCCGCGTCCAGCGAGAACTGAACCGGGCTTTCGGTCGACTTGCAAGTGTCTCCGGAGATGATAAACTCAAACCCTGCATAAACCCTTTTGGAATACTGGGCTCCGGGCAATCTCGCCAGCTGCATGTGTGATACAAACCAGACCCCACAATCACTGCAGGGATCTGAAGCTTAGGGGGTTTAGGGTTTAGGGTTCCTAAACCCTAAACCCTAAACCCTAAACTGCAGGAGATGGGGGATGCCCCATCGGATCTACAATGGCTCGGATGAGTTCTTAGGGGGCTTCGGACTTCGGGAAAGAGATGATCGTCGCAGACGAGAGATGGAGGAACCCCTACATGTATTCCACTCGAACTCGAGTCGACAGGGTGTATTGTACGTTTAAGGCTTTCGTTGCAGTTTCTTTTGGAGCTTGGGTTGCATGCCAAATTCATCAAGGGCACTGTGAGCATCCACTGCGGAGTTTCCTTGGCTTCTCTCAAGGCTCCAAGACAGACGCATCCTGTCCTGCAGCCTCGCCCAGGAACTCTATTTAGCCCCCGGGTTTAGGGTTTAGGGCTAAACCCTAACAGCCTTAGACCCCATTACATGCGCCTTGAACGTTGGGGCCTGCCGAAGGCCTCATCTCATCTTCCCACTTCTTCATGAAACTTACAGACTTAGGCACATACCCCGATAGGACTCTGTACAGGCGCAGGAATCGACAGTGCATTCGTTCCCTACTAAGAACCAGCAAGTATCCCTAAACCCTAAACCCTGAACCCTGAACCCGAAAAACCCTAACACCCTCTTCAGTGACACAGCCGAGGCGCCAGGCCGGCAGCCCGCGCATCTACGTCGGAGCAGGTGCAAAAGGCGTCGAAGAGCACCACTGCCGCCATGAAGTTTGACCTCCAGCTCTCTCTGGTAGCCCTAAACCCTAAACCCCGCACCCGAAGGGTTTAGGGTTTAGGGTTATAGGGTTTAGGGTGTTTAGGGTTTAGGGTTTAGGGTTTTTTTTGCCACCCGCTTAGGGTTTGGGGCTTAGGGTTTAGGGAGCCCCGCGCCCTAAACCCTATAATCTTAGGGTAGCTACATGGCCCCGGATCATGGGCCGCTTCAGTAGCCATTCAAAAAGAAGGCCAGGGACCATGTTCACGGACCGCGTGTTGGGGTAATGAACCCCCAAAACCCTATACCAAACCCGAAACCGGCCTAAGGCGATGGAATCCCCGGTGGCGCCCTTGTGATTTTTGGCTTGTGGGCTTGGTTTTTTTAGGGTTTTGGGTTTAGGGTTTTGTCTTGAACTCCACATGGAACTTGGACGCAGACGTTGGGCTTCGTGCTCACAATGCTGACCCGACCTTCACTTGCCGCACCCTCAGCCCTAAACCCCGAAACCCAAACCCTAAACCCGCTTCCCTTTTTTGCATCCAGGTCTCTTGCAGCCAGCCCCGAAACCACCCTAGAACCCTCAACCATATGGAACAGATACCCTAAACCCTAAAACCTAAACCCTAAACCCTAGGGAAGTCGGTATGACTTATCCACACCCTGCCGGGGCCAAGGAGCACGACTCTGCCTGTGACAATCTTTCGGATCTTGTCCTGGAGACATCACTCGACCAAGGGGCTTTGGGGTTTAGGGTTTAGGGTTTAGGTTTAGGGTACCCTATCTCAAGGACCCCAACCCTAGATTTTGCAGGTGACTGCCCTGGCCCGGCTTCTTCACGTGCAGGCGAAGCACTAGCTGGGCTTCATGCAACCATGAGTTTTTCAAGATCGAGGTTAAGGGTTTAGGGCTTTGGGTTTGGGGTCCCTAAAGCCTACCATGTTTGAAAAAAACACGAGTTTTTCAAGATCTAGGTTTTAAACCGGCTTCGGGCTTGGGGGTGCCTAAAGCCTACATTTAAGAACTGCAAACCCGATTTTAAACCTGGTCACAAACCCTGAGCACTGAAAAACTGCCATTCAAAACCCTCGCCCCTCGAATGGGTAGGGGCAACTCAAGAGCATTTCCTAAGACCTTCAAGGTAGTTATGATAACTCAGGAAAGGAGGACTCTCCGTCTAAGGATTCGTACTCTGGCGACAAAAAAAGGCAAGACGTGGAGCGGATCCGGAGAAAGATCGGAGTCGTTCCGGGGTCCTTCACCTTATGTTGGAAAGTGTTGTCTTGGCTGTTCACCGAGGGCTGCTGCACGCGGATGAAGTCCGACATTACCACGGTAGGCTTCCTTGCTGGGGGCTTATGGCCGACGTTTGGCTTTGAGTGCTTTCGGGTTGGCCCCTTTTACAACCAAGTCGGCCCCTGAACCCTTAAACCCTAAGCCCTTTTGCAACAGGCTTCGCCCTAAACCCTAAACACTTAAGCCCTAAACCCTACACCCCAAACCGCAAACCCTTAAAGCCCTGAAAGCCTGAAAGCCCCTACAGACCAGGGCCCTGCACCCCTGGGCCCTAGACCTATTTGTTACCCGCCAGAACCTGCGAAACCTGGGACCAATCACGCGAGAACCTTAAGGTTTACAGGAAACTCCAGAAAGTTGGAACATGGTTTCAAGATGATTAGAGCTTGGATTTCCTTTAGTATACCGTTTGGGGTATGAGGATAAGGGTGTTGCAACTTTTTGGGGTTGACTGTAGGGCTTAAAGGCTCAGGATTACAGGTTTAGGGTTCAGGGCTTCGGGAGGTTCAGTATTTTGGAGGCTCGCATCCATCAAGCCTCGGAGGATGAACCTTTCAGGGGTTTAGGGTTTAGGGTTTATAGGGTTTAGGGTTTAGGGTTTAGGGTTTAGGGTTTATAGGGTTTAGGGCGGGCGTTTTTAAGTGGTTTGGGCGGTTTAGGGCCTTGCGGGTTTTTGGATCGCAGGGGTTTGTGGTTTTAGGGTTTTGGGGCCGAAGCAGATTCTTGGGGGGGAGCCTTTGGGGGAGTGATTCAAGGGACTCCGAAAAATTACCCTAAAGCCTAGACCCTTTTTGAGCACGGACTGGGAAACTGCCTAAACCCTAAACCCTAAACCACGCACCCCCGAAGCCAGCAAACCCGACCTCCGCATCTGATAAGAGGGAAACTTCTCAGCAATGGTCTCGGGTTTAGGGTTTCGGGCACGCAGCGCCTCGCGACACTTTTGGGAAAAAAGCCGTGAGGTTTAGGGTTTAGGGTTTAGGGTTTTTAAGCGGATTTTGCGGTCTGAGCCACATGCCTGTAGGGGTTATAGGGTTTCGGGCCTACAGGCATAATGGGCCCTCGGATATAAGGCTCCGTATGATCATCGGCAAGTTTAGCCAGGGACTCTGAGCCCCCAACCTGTCCAAGAGACTTCGCCCTAAACCCTAAACCCTAAACCCTAAACCCTAAACCCTAAACCCTAAACCTTAGACCCTAAACCCTAAACCCTAAACCCTAAACCCCATACTAGGTCCGAGTCACCTGTTTGGTGTATCCCCCCTTGTGGAGGGGCTCGACACCGTTCGATCGGACCGCCCGATGGAGCTGCTTCTTCCTTGCCTTCGTCGGGTTTTAGGGTTTAGGGTTTAGGGGTTAAGGGGTTTAGGGTTTAGGGGTTTAGGGGTTTAGGGGCTTAGGGGTTTAGGGGCTTAGGGGCTTAGGGGCTAAGGGGTTAAGGGGTTTAGGGGTTTGGGGGTTTGGGGGTTTAGGCGTTTAGGGGTTTGGGGGTTTGGGGGTTTGGGGGCTTAGGGGTTTAGGGGTTTAGGGGCTTCGGGGCTTAGGGGTTTAGGGGCTTCCGGGTTAAGGGGTTTTGGGGTTTTGGGGTTCTGGCTTCTCCAGACCAATTGCAGGGTTCCCTAACGCCCGTGGCAGGGGTCCCTACAACCAATTGCTGGGTTCCCCTCAGACACCAAGACGCTCAACCCTGTCTCGTGGCTGTGGAGCTGTGTGGTAGAGCCCGAAAACCCTAATCCCTGAATCAGAACCTGCAAGCCCTAAACCCTAAACCCTGAAACCCTGAACCCTAAACCCTAAACCCTAAACCCTAAACCCTAAGTCTTGCACATGCAAGACTTCCCAGCACCTCATCCGCTGCATGGCCGCGGCAAAGCCTCCTCTGCAGGGGTTCCCTAGAAGCCCTAGACCTTGAGGACCCAATGAACCGGGTTTAGGGTTTAGGGTTTAGGGCTTAGGGTTTAGGGTTTAGGGTTTAGGGTTTAGGGGGACCCAATGAAACCCCCCCCAAAATGGGGGGGGTCATGTCTCCTACGCTGCTCCAATCCCTATGATAAAGGGAAAACCCTACACCCTTTGAGGTTCATGTGGTCCCCAACGTATAAGGGATAGGATTGGGGGGACCCTGGAGGATATAGACCCCCTGTTTAACAGAGCCAAAAGAGGGTTAAGTAGGGCTCCCTTGTAAGGATCACCGCTTCATCATCTGTGACCAGGGGATGACGACACAGCAACACGCTTCGGCTCGTAAGCCGCCGCCCGGCCAAATAAGAACATACCTTTTCTCCTATAAGAGCAAGGAAGAAATGAAGCACTTTTTGTTCCTACAACACACAAAAATAAGAGAAACCCAAAAAGACTCAAGTTCCCTCATGTTGGCTAAGCAAGAGAATGACAAGGGATTGGCGGCTTCCGCATCCCTCTCCTTTCCTCTTCTTTCTCTGCGCTCGCTGTTTCTTTCTCGGGGCTTTGGGCGAGTAGCATGCGCGCGGCGGGGGATGGGGCCTCTCCCTTTTGGGGACCACGTGAACCCCAAAAGGGTCTGTGGTTCGTAGAACTTCATAGGGATTACAGTAGTAGAGGGTCTATGACCCTAATTGTAGGCGTTCATTTCGTCCCCGAGGCCCTCCAACCCTTTCCGAGCCCTCATCAGCGGGGAGCAGGTTGCACATTGCTGGAACACTCCGATCGTTTAAAACCCGACGCTTCCTCCAGAAAACGTAGCTGCTCTAGCATCTCATAGAAACAAGGCATCGCCTTCAAAGACCCTAAGCCCTAAACCGAGGTCGCTTCAGGAGACACGCCTAGCTGACCTAATCAGGCCACTTTGTAGGAGGGTTTAGGGTTTAGTGTTTAGGGTGCCCAAGTATGAAAGAAATGAGGTGTCTTCAACCGAGGGTTGCAGGGTCGCCACAAAGATTGGATGGAGTTGGGCATAAAGCGTCCCATGTACCCTACAACCCTGTCGGTTTAGGGTTTAGGGTTTAGGGTTTTGAAGGTGTCCACACTTTCGAGTTTAGGGTTTGGGGTTTAGGGTTCACGGCTGAGGGTTTCCACCCTTTCGGGTTTCGGGTTTAGGGTCTTGCGGTTGAGGGTTTCCACCCTTTCAGGTTTAGGGTTTGGGGTTTGGGGTTTACGGTCGAGGGTTTAGGTAAAGTGGAATCCGGCACGATGATTGCGTGAGACCAGGGTTTAGGGGTTAGGGTCCCCATGAAACTCCCACAGTTCACGGGCCTCCCATGGAAGGACTCTTCTTGAAGGCGTCTACGCCCTGCGAACCTGCATGCTTGACTCACCAGTCCGTCGTTAAAAAAAACATAGGGAATGAGCTTGGCTGCACTTAGGAGGGTAGCTAAGAATTAAGATTTTAGCTGCCTCATTAAGAACCCCAACAAACCCAAAAAGGCTAAGGATCTAAAGTTACAGTAAAGCACCACAAAGTGAGGCATACCTCATGGAATGCCCCTTACACCCTAAACCCTTTTTACTAAACCCTGAACCCTAAACCCTTAACCCTAAATCCCCTAAAACCCTAAACTACTAAGAACCAGATACTTGAGGGGGCTTGGGGTTTAGGGGGTTGGTTTAGGGTTTAGGGTTTAGGGTTTAGGGTTTAGGGTTTAGGGTTTAGGGTTTAGGGTTTAGGGTTTAGGGTTTAGGGTTTAGGGTGGCACGAGTGTGCAGCAGAGCGGTCCCAAGAGATCAACCCCCTTAACCCTCAACCAGAGAAGCCCTGCTATGCTAAACCCTAAACCCTAAACCCTAAACCCTAAACCCTAAACCCTAAACCCTAAAGCTAGCTTCCGGGTTGGGGAGCGTACAGGGGGATGCCCTCGCAGACTCGGGTGCGTCAGCTGTCTCTTAGTTCAGCTGCCAGCGGATTTAGGGTTTAGGGTTTAGGGCTTAGGGTTTAGGGGTTTGGGGTTTAGGGCCAGCCTTCCCCATCCTCCCCTGGTGGCGGTCTGCCCGGTCGGGAGCTGGGCGTCGGCATCGCCTCTTAAGGGACCCAAGGGTTTAGGGTTTAGGGTTTAGGGTTTAGGGTTTAGGGTTTAGGGTTTAGGGTTTGAGAGTAAACTCCAGAAAATTGGAACATGGTTTAAGGATGATTAGGGCTGGGATTCCCTTTTGTATACCTTTTGGGGTATGGGGCTAGGGATGCTCCAAGTTTCTGGAGTTTACGGCTTAGGGTTTCGGAAGGGGGGGGGGGGGCAACCCCAGGGCTCTTGAGGCTTTAGACGTTGTTGTTACAGGGGCTTCACATTTCAGGCTTGGCCTTCGGAGTTGGGTTTTAAGCTTTTTTTGTCCAGTAACCTGGGGGAATTAAAGGTTAACCTTTGGGATTTTCCGGGGACTATACTACCCCAAAAAGGTTAAAGGTTACGTACTCTTCTACTAGGTAAGGCCATTTTTGGAGAGTTCGGGGTTGTTGATGGGTTTTAGGGGGCGTTTGGGGGTTTAGCGCTTTAGGCGCTTTCGGGGAATAGGGCTTTAGTCCTGCGACTCTACCTCGGACTCGTAAGGTTGTACCCTTAGTGGGTTTGGGGACCTGTTTCAAGATACTTCAAGGGAATATAAGGGCCATAGTCGGAGCATTTAAGGGAACCTCTTGGGGGTAGATCCTTAGGGGTCCGAGTATGACTCCCTTGATTTGGGGTCTTGGGGCCGGGGTTAGTTCCTGCAGACCCTCTCGACAGTTTAGGTTTAGGGTTTAGGGTTTAGGGTTTAGGGTTTAGGGTTTAGGGTTTAGGGTTTAGGGTTTAGGGTTTAGGGTTTAGGGTTTAGGGTTTAGGGTTTAGGGTTTAGGGTTTTTGGATTCTTAGGGCCTTCATCCAAGCTGCCAATCCCTAAGCCCAAAGCCAAAAGCCCTGAGCCCAAAGCAGCAACCCTAAACCCTAAACCCGAAACCCTAAACCCTAAACCCTAGACCCTAGACCCTAGACCCTAAACCCTAAACCCTAAAAGCACAGTGGGTCGAAGGCTTTAAGAGTTTAGGTCCCTAAGGCTTCATGCTCGCGATCGGCTTTAGGGTTTCGGCGTCTCAGGCTTACCCTGGCTCCAGGCAAGCAGCTGCCTACACATAGGCCACCCAGAAACCACCTAAACCCTAAACCCTAAACCCTAAACCCTAAACCCTAAACCCTAAACGCCCTAAACCCTAGGCATAGAAGGCTCCCGAGTCGCCTCGTGAGGCGGGGGGGGCCTCCCTGAGCCCAGATCCGTCACTACTCTCGAGCCTTCGGGTTGTGTGCCGCGGCGTCGGGTTTAGGGTTTAGGGTTCAGGGTTTAGGGTTTAGGGTTAGGGTTTAGGGTGCCGAAAAGAGCCTCCTCTTTGGTAACATTTTAGACTCTTCTTCCGTCTGCACACTCGTGTGGAAAAGAGATCCCGTCCATATAAACTTCACAGAAACGGGCTCCTAGCCTCTGACGTTGAAGAAAAAGGCAATGACACTGAGGTTCAGGGTACTGTATATCTGTACTTACAAGCCCCCCGAAGTATGTAATAACAATTCGGGTTATAAGTACCCCTGAACCAAGTAGCATTCAAATCTCCTCACATGAGGACATGCATTCAGGCTGGGTGCCCCCCCTACCAGCTAAGCCGAGCCACCCTCCTGTCCTGCACCAGCTTCCGTTCCTAAACCCTAAACCCTACCCTACACCCTAAACCCTAAACCCTAAACCCTAACCCTAAACCCTAAACCCGAAGTCCTAAAAGCTGGGAGGCCCAGTGCTACGCTGAGGTCCCTTCGCGCGTACCAGTCCAAAGGAGTGGCGGCCCTTAAAGCTCAGGGGTTTAGGCTGGGAGTTTTGGGGATTTGGGGTTTATAGGGTTTAGGGTTTCGGGTTTCAGGTTTAGGGTTTAGGGTTAGGGCTAGTAAGGTTTAAGGGCCTTGGTGGTGTCTAGTAAGATTTCGGGCCCTGGTGGGGGTTTAGGCGGTGGCTTGTTTCCAGCCCTGGCAAGTGGGCCTCAAGCAAGAGAATCCCCTTGAGGCTTTAGAAGAAAGATGAAAGGTATCTCCAAGGAAACCCTAAACCCTAAACCCTAAACCCTAAACCCTAAACCCTAAACCCTAAACCGGCAAAAGGGAACACAAGGGGCCTGTGGAGAATCGCCTCCCAGGGTTCAGGGTTTAGGGCTTTGGGGCTTCGCTTTGGGGCGGGATAGTACCGGGGAACTCTGTACGCCCGTTGGTTGCGACTCTCATTCCTACAACACATGTTGGGCCCAACACAAAAGATCATGAACTCCAAAGGAGTTCTGAGGGTTTCAAGAGGATTGCTCACCTGCGTAAAATCAGCTCGGAAGTCCCAGGAACAACTTAGGTTTTCGGACTTCCTCCCTAAACCCCAAACCCCAAACCCTAAACCCTAAACCCCAAACCCTAAACCCTAAACATCGCAGCAACCTCAACCCCCTAAACACTGCAGCTTAAACCCCGTGTCTGTTGAATAGAGCAGTCCTGCCTGCACTCCTGCGACCTCCTCTCTAGACCCAAGTTCTCTTCTTTGTCTCCTGCCTGGCCTGGGTTTAGGGTTTAGGGTTTAGGGTTTAGGGTTTAGGGTTTAGGGTTTAGGGTTTAGGGTTTAGGGTTTAGGGTTTAGGGTTTAGGGTTTAGGGTTTAGGGTTTAGGGTTTAGGGTTTAGGGTTTAGCGTTTAGGGTTTAGGGTTTAGGGTTTAGGGTTTAGGGTTCAGGAACCCCGCGTCTGAACGTATCTGGCTTGCAGTAGCACAACTCATTTCGAAGAAGTGAACAACACCTTGGAACAGAACTTTTCCACCACGTCGTCGTCGTCATCGTCGCGGTGGTGGTCGCGGTGGTGGTCGCGGTGGTGGTCGTGGTGGTGGTGGTGGTGGTGGTCGTGGTGGTGGTGGTGGTGGTGGTGGTGGTGGTGGTGGTGGTGGTGGTGGTGGTGGTCGCGGTGGCGGTGGCGGTGGCGGTGGCGTGGCGGTGGCGGTGGCGGTGGTGGTCGTGGTGGTGGTGGTGGTGGTGGTGGTGGCGGTGGTGGTGGTGTGGGTATGAGCCCTATCAGCCTTAGACCCTCAACCAACTGTGCCAAGCTAGCGACGCTCCATGGTGCTGCCAGCAGCACGGCTTGCCACGTCTTCCCCAGGTCCTGGCATTAAACCATCTGCAGGCCCTAGAAAGCCGCCTGAAAACTTATGCCCCCAAAATGCCCTCTTTCTTCTTTCTTTTGTTAATGTTTACTTATTCTTTTCATGTTCGCTCTACTTTTCTCGCTGTCTCTCTGTCTCTCTGTCTCTCTGTCTCTCTCTCTCTCTATCTCTCTCTCTCGCCCTTCCTCCCTGCCTCCCTCCCTCCCACTCTCAACCCCAACCCGTGGCCTGAATCCCCTTTCCCAAGCCCTCAACGATAACCCTTGGCCCAAACCCTGAAAAGTAGAAACGTCTTGGACCTGGGGGAGCCCTAAACCCTAAACCCTAAACCCTAAACCCTAAACCCTTCACCCTAAACCCTAAACCCTAAACCCACGTGCCAAACCCACACCTTATACTGTTGCGAAGAGGCGTGCTAAGCATGCTTGCCTTGGAGATCTGAGTTCTTGATGTGGAGATTTTGCCTACCCATCTCGTGGATCTGCGGTTTTTGTGGCCTTGGTCATGGGTCGGCCCCCCAACTACCTCCAACTAAGCAACTGGATGCATTCCAGGACCCCGTTTGCATGTGAAAAGCAATAAAAAAAGGCTCGGAAGGGGGGGCGGGGGGGGGTGAGTGAACTCCCCTACGCATGAAACTGCGCCCTTGCAAATGACCCTAAACCCTAAACCCCAAACCTGCAACCCGAAGTCTCCCAATGCCAAGGTTCGAAAGACACCGACAAGGGCTCCCGCCCAAACCCTGCCAGCGAAAACTCGAAAACAAAGGGGGAGAACAAACTTTTGACCCTATACACCCCAAAAAAAGCAAATAGGGGTCCTGTTGAACCTCAGCCCTAAACCCTCCACCCTAAACCCAACACCGGCCTGTGAGTGCCAGACGTCGTTGAATCCGCCGCTGTTTGAGTGCCCCAGGCCACCCGCGATGAAGACCCCTCGCGCCGCCCATGCCCTAAACCCTAAACCCTTTTGAACCTAAACTGGTGCATGATGCCTCCTTTTCACACACACACACATTGACCGGTTGCTGAGCCGACGACCTTCTCCGCCGTCTGTAACGGCCTTTGGGTGCTCTCATGCCCTCATCGATGTTGGCTCTCAATGAAATGGGTAGCCTCTAGATGGGTTCAATATGACATTGGTGTAGCCTTGGATGCAAAAACCCACGCCTCAACAACGCCCACACATGCTCCAGCTCGGAAAGATGAGATTGTGTGATCAGGTCTTCCTGTGTTTCTCCTCAAGTTTGCAACCCTTGCTTCCACACACTGACATCCCGCATCGGGCTGTCACGCAGAACAATACATCCTGATCCCGAGACCCTCTTCCCCGTTTGACATCACCCGCTTGCCCCGCCCCCCGAAGCCGCGCAGAGGCCGCAAGAGGTCACTACACCTAAACCCTAAAACCTAGTCAAGCGCTAAACCCTTTGGCACCCCAAACCCTAAACCCTAAACCCTAAACCCCCAAACCCTAAACCCTAAACCCTAAGCCCTAAACCCTAAACCCCCAAACCCTAAACCCCAAACAACCCCCAAACCCCTGCGCGTTGGGGCTTTGAGGTTTGGTGCCTCAGAGAGCCAGAGTGTCCGAAACCCTGAAGAGCCCAACAGCCTTTCTTGCTCCGTACACCAAAACTGTATATATATATATATATATGTATGTATGTATGTATGTGTGTATGTGTGTCATATGTATATATATATATATACGCATATATAGGTGTATTTATTTATATAGATACATAAAAAAAGACCTAGAAACATCTACATAGACACCCCTGAAACTTCAAAACCTTTCTTGAGGCTCGGGCGCCGAAATACTTCCGAGCCGGCCATGGGGCTTCCTGGGTCTGAAGCACCTCACAGTGGAGCGTGTTGTGGTATTGTGGGTCGGGGTTAAGTCCTATAGGTAAAACCCAAATCCCGAATCCCAAGCCCGCACAGTTCCCCGAAAATCCTAAACCCTAAACCCTAAACCCTAAACCCTAAACCCTATAAACCCTAAACCCTAACAAAGATCGTCCCCAAGAATCCAAGTTCCCAGCCCAGGTCTCGCCATCTTGGCTTCGCCAGGCGTCATCTGGGGCTCCAATTGTGGCAGTTGCGATTCTGGGCATCGTCTACAGGTTGGGCCGAGTCCCTCTTTCGGGTCCTTATAGATTTCCATGTATATATATATATATATATATACATATAATGACTGTGTGCATTTGTTTACTTAAACAAATCACCTTTTTGCTCTTAAACTTATGTATGTATCTGTACCCACTACATACCCTGAAGGGTTGCTATAAGCTCATGAGGAGCACCCAACGAGGGTCCTGAGGCCCCCTGCTCTTCAAGAGGCTCGCCGCGGGCGGAATGGCGCCTTCGTCGCCGCCGAGGAGGACCAGGGACCCGCTGCTGCACACAGGGTTTAGGGTTTGGGGTTTGGGGTTTAGGGTTTAGGGTTTGGGGTTTAGGGTTTGGGGTTTAGGGCTTGGGGTTTTGGGTTTAGGGAGTGACTTTCCGGATCAAGACACTCTCTCTCTCTCCCTCTCTGCCTCTCGTCCTGCTCTTCTTATTCCTCCTGTTTGATTGAGGGAAGGGCGCTTCTAAACCCTAAACCCTAAACCCTAAACCCTAAACCCTAAAGCCTAAACCCTAAACCCTAAGCCCTCCTGGCATGCATGGGCTGCAAGTCCCTAAACCCCCGGAAAGCCCATGAGTTGGGATGTTACCCCTTATACTGGCAGTCCTTCATAGGGATTCCAACACCCCAAATTCTAATCCCTATAAACCCCTAATTAGGCCCTAAACCCTAAACCCTAAACCCCAAACCCCTTCTGCTTCAGGGCTCCAGTGGTAGCTTGCCTGTGAGGTTGCTCAAGGTTTTTGGGTGATCCCCAAACCCCTAAACCACTCTTAGTATAAGGGGGCAACATCCGAACCCATGAGGGGTTGAAGCCCTGGAGGCCCGGATGCCAACCCTGCACCTGGAGATTCATGGGTACTTCGAAGTAGGGTTTTTAAGTAGGGCCACGATATATGGTCATAACCTTATTTAGAGGCACTTAACCTTATTTAGAGGCACTTCTAACCCTACATATATATATATACATATATACCTATATGTATATATGTTATATCTGTATGTATATATATATATATTACCCATGAACCTCCAAGTAGACCTATGAGCTGGCGGCTTCAATCTCAGGTGCGGAGCTTCGACATTTTGTTTTTCAACTCGTCAGGTCTGCGCCACGGCGTCGAGCGATGCTGAAACTATATAGGCTTTACTTCTTGTGCATACGATTCATCGGCTTCAGGCCGTGCTCGCATGCTGCGGTTCCCTGGAGCGGGGCTGCGTGGATGATAAGGTTAGGGAGAGGCTGAGGAATCCTAAGAAGCCCAAGGCACCGAGGTGTAAACCCTCCCCAAACCGGAGTAGCCCTAAACCCTAAACCCTAAACCCTAAACCCTCAACCCTAAACCCTAAGCCTATGCTGAGGCGTGTCAGGTCAGAAGCTCTGGCGCTTGAAGATCCAAAGCGGTGTATTTTGTGACGGTCTTGCTGGTCAGAGGCTTCTTGTCCTTAGGTTGAGAGGGGGTTTAGGGTTTAGGGTTTAGGGTTTAGGGTTTAGGGTTTAGGGTTTAGGGTTTAGGGTGAGGGATCTAGGGCTTTATCGAGCTGCGTTTCTTAGGAAAGTTTGGGCTTTAGACGTCCGGGGGATGCTGTGGAGTTAAGAGTTGAACTTCGAAGCAGAGGTGGGGTTTGGTCTTGCTTCTGAAAGCCCCGGTTGATGTGAGGGGTTGGGGTTTTAAGTTTAAGTCCTTAAAGGATAGCGCGTACACCCCCCCCCCCCCTTCTTCTGCCCTCCCCTAAAATGGCAATAACCAAAAGGTCTGGGACAACAGCTGTCTACTTTCGGCAGAGCATCGCCATACTGAAACGCTCCCCAGGCTTTGGTGTAGGGCATCTCCTTGTGCTTCTCCACAGCGTCCGCGGACTCAAAGACCTGAGCAGAAGAAGGGAAGTGCAGACCTGGGTAGAGTCCTTCCACTATAATTAGTAATATACTATAGGGCCTATTAGGGGAAAATGTGTTAAAAGCCAGACTTTCTGGAAAGTCCCTAGACCCTAAACCCTAAACCCTAAACCCTGAACTCTGACATTCATACATCGTTCATGCCACCTCTCTGGGGCTTAATCTGCAGTTTACCCCATAGAAACTCAGACTCGGGATCTGAATCGTTGCCTGTCCTTACTCTATAAGCCCCTACTAGCTACCTTCGGGACCAAATGAACCCCCAAATTGGGGGTCAGATTCCCTATCATTACTATAATTCCGATAAAGGTATATGAAACACAGACACCCTAAACCCAAGCCCTACACTCCAAACCCCAAACCCTTTTTGCATCCAGACTGAGGGCGTTGCCGGCAAACCCTGAACCCCAAACCCTAAACCCTAAAGCCTAAACCCTAAAGCCTAAACCCTAAACCCTTATAGGGTTCATTTGGTCCTTAAGTCCACAGTTCGCGTGATGCCTCGTAGCTCACGAAGCGTCCACTGCTAGCCTCCTGGAGCACTGCACCCCTCAGGTCTAGGGCTTTAGGGTTTAGGGTTTAGGGTTTAGGGTTTAAGGTTTAAGGTTTAGGGTTTAGGGCTACTCCTTGGGCCTTGTTAGTTAGAATAGGGTTTTGGGGGGTTCCTGTAAAGTAGAATTACAAAGGGACCATAAGGGAATACTGTTGGTAATTCTTCCGACCCCTCAGGTCTACATCTTTTTGGGGGGAGGGGGTTCGTGGCTTTTTGTTGGCGTGGCTTAATTGGGGTTGAGGGTTTAGGGTTTAGGGTTTAGGGTTTGGGGAAGGGGGGGGGGAGCTCCTTTACCCGCACCCTACACCCTGAGCCCTCACCCCCGGGTCGAAGAGACTTTCATAGTTGGCCGCCTCGCTCCATCTTCGAACCCGCGAACATGTTGGCTACGCATCGGCTATACCCTAACCCCCTTGCAACTCATAAGGCCACGCTCGGCCTTAGACTCTACACCCTAGACCCCGAAACCTTTTAAAAGTCCCCTAACCCAGAATAGGCTCTACAAAGACTTTAAGCCATGAAACCCCGGGGCCTCCCAACCGCCAAGGTTTCCAAACCCTAAATCATCCTAGACCTCTTTTCAATCCCCAACCCAAAGGCTCCATGTTCCCACATAGTAGATACTTAGGCCTCAAAGGGGTTCTTACATAGGTACTTTGGGCCCTAAGTATATACTATATGGGTACGTGGAGCCTCACGGCAATAAAACCTCTGAACTAGCGCCAGCTCCTGGCCGCGAAGCAAGTCGAAGCGCAGGCAACCTGCCTGGTGCGACGGTGTCGACAACTCAACAGAACCGAAGACAAGCAGTCCCTACTTTGGAGTAGACCCTGGAAAAAAGAAAAAAACATATTATATACTCACTCACTCACTCGAAAGTATATACTTTTTAGGTATGAGTAGCTTTCATAGGAACCCAGAACCAACAAAAAGTATTAAAGCATAGCACTCTAAAACCCAGTAGCAGAAGTGGCAAAGGACTCAGGAGCTGCCATGCCAGAAGTATACTCCCCCTAGAACCTTAATAAAGATATTGTTTTTTTTTAATATCCTCTTGGGTTTTTTTATGAACAAAAATGAATGAAAAAAATTCCCAAGGAGGATATAGAGAAGTGGGAGTGTTGTTGCTTGATCTTGGGCAGCTCAGTTCTTACATGCGGTACTCGCCCAATATGCGTGTACGTCGGTGCCAGGTTCCCAAGTAGCCCAGGAATAAACACCCCAAAGCCGCAAGCTTTTCTGCTTTGGGTTTAGGGTTTAGGGTTTAGGGTTTAGGGTTTAGGGTTTAGGGTTTAGGGTTTAGGGTTTAGGGTTTAGGGTTTAGGGTTTAGGGTTTAGGGTTTAGGGTTTCATGAAGAAGGGCACAAATGGGCATCCCAGGCTTGCGCCCCTCCTCCAGACGCGAGCCGCGGGCGTTGGCAGTCATCACCTCGAAGCAAAAACCACGGAAACACGCAGCAGCGGTTTAGGGTTTAGGGTTTAGGGTTTAGGGTTTAGGGTTTAGGGTTTAGGGTTTAGGGTTTAGGGTTTAGGGTTTAGGGTTTAGGGTTTAGGGTTGTTTTTTTAGGGTTTAGGGTTTAGCCAAGCAGGCACGCCGCACTGCAGGGCAAAGATTTCGGGATGGCAGACTAAGCGGTTGGCTTGCTGGGGGACGCTGACACAAAGCTCCTGGCTGACCGTTTAAGGTTTCGGCTTCAGGTTTCAGCTTTTAGGGTTTCGGGTTTAGGTGTTAGGGACCTGTTTTACACCCAACAGCGAGCTTGACCACCTCATAGGCCCCTAAAAGCTCAACTTCCAGAGAACTTGAAGGAACTCTCTGACCCTAAACCCTAAACCCTAAACCCTAAACCCTAAACCCTGGGGCTCTAGACCCAGGAGTAAGCTAGGAATCAAAATGGGTGCGCTTTTGGGTTTTGAGGGGATTGTAAGGGAACCCAAGCCCCCCCAAAAAAAAGGAAATAGGGGTCTGCTCCGGGTCCTGGGGTTTAGGGTTTAGGGTTTAGGGTTTAGGGTTTAGGAACTCTCTGGTGCTTCTTTCGACTTGTAAGGTTTGTCGGGTCGAAGGGGGGGGGCATGATTCGGGTTTCGGATACGAAGTCAGCTAAGTCATTCCTAGCAGCCCTAGCAGTGCCAGATTTTGTACGCTCGAAATCCTACCAGAGAGGACCCCTAACGTAGCTGAGCCAACTCATGTGGTAACTTGCGGGGTCATCCGCGGCCTCCACGAATTCTGTGACACAGTCGTCCTTCACGTCCGCCTCGCACAAGGAGCCACGTTTTCTTTATTCCCCATAATGGCCCTAAGCCCTATAATCCGAATCCCAAAACCCACCCTTAAACACCTTTAACCTTAAGCCCGGCACGCCCTAATTCTCAAAACTCTAAAACCAGGAGCCTCTCAACTACCTCAGCACCTACCCACTGAGCTTTCTAGGGTTTAGGGTGTAAGGTTGCACGAGCTGGCAGGAGGACTCTAGGACTGTCAATCAAGCTAAAGCTGTGGATGAGTTTGCTCTGGAGCTGAGAAGTGCTCATGGTTCACGATGGGCCGTCTGGTAGGCCTTGAGGCAACAGTCCCGCATGGCTTGGGCCCTAAACCCTAAACCCTAAACCCTAAACCCTAAACCCTAAACCCTAAACCCTAAACCCTAAACCTTCAGACTACGAAACCATGCGCCGAAGGCCTCGAAGACGACGGCAACAGGGTTGTCCTGAGAGGTCTGGTCCCCCCCCACTAGTCAGACTCTAAGCCCCTGCCTCTTAATGTTGTAAACCCTAAACCCTAAACCCTAAACCCTAAACCCTAAACCCTAAACCCTAAACGAATCTCATCAACAACGGGAACCAGCCAAACACCGAGCCAACCATGCAGCGAAACAAGGATACTGTCTTGCATCGTCTCTAGTTCATGGTTGGGATCGTGTTGAAAACTTAAATTTAGGGTTTAGGGTGTAGGGTTTAGGGTTTAGGGATTTATATTCCTTCTTGGGTTTCAGTACCCTAAAAAGTGTAAAATGATGCCCAAGTATGACCAAGGTCTACGGTGTGATGAAAACCTCGTCACGCACATCACAGCCAAAATTTGAGTAACTGAGGGAACACACCCAGCGAACCGCTTGTGAAGGAAATGCTGGCCGCTCTCTATCACGATTTTTCTGCCACGGCACCTAACGTTGATCAGTTTCTTAGGTGCCCTAATCCCTTCACCCACTTCACTCATCTCAACCTCCTAGGCCCTAGGCCCGAAGCCCTGCAAGATTCAATATCCCTAAGCCCTTAACCCTAAACCCTGGGAAGTTCCATTTCCCTGAACCCTAAACCCTAAACCCTAAACCCTAAACCCTAAACCCTAAACCCTAAACCCTGAACCCTTCAGCCGGGCGTCACCCGAGGCCGGGCTCTGATGCTGGAAGCTCAGAGCATCGGCCTTGAGAACCGTCTTGCTGACCTCGGAATACTCCCCGGGGCTTTCAAATTAATGGGGTTTAGGGTTTAGGGTTTGGGGTTTGGGGTTTAGGGTTTAGGGCTTAGGGTTTAGGGTTTGGGGTTCATTGCCGCTGTTCTGGTGGTAATGCTTACTATTGCGTACGGTCGTCTTATTACACCGCTTTCTAGCTTCGCAACTTCAGTTCAGTGAATGGCAGGGTTTCGGCTCTCACGGCCAATTAGGATCAAACACACAACTTTCCATCGGAACCTCACATATTCAGCTGCTGTGCAAAAACATCGTGCTCCATCTCGCTCAGCTGGACGCCCCAAACCCACGATTTGTCCTTTTGTCCTCCAAGGCGCCACTGGCTTCTTGTCACCATACTGGAAAGCTCCCCAGGCTTTGACCTCTTTAGTTGAAAGGTTTCAGGACTTGGGCAGTATAGAGTCCTTCCTCCTCCCTGGTTCTTAGTAGGGAATGCGGGAATTAGGGCCCTGTATATATATATATATACATATATATATATATGCCCTTAAGGGATTTCGTTGGGTACCTCATTCCCTCATTCCCTACTAAGAGCCAGCCAGTCCTTTGAAAGGAAGGATGCCATGGGTTCTGTAGGCACGTCCTGGGTGGCTGATTTCTATTGGCCATGACCACTCCTCTTGCGCATCTTATGCTGCGACAATGCTCTCAGAAGCTGATCACGGAACTTGCTGAAACTTCAGGACTCCCTCCCCCCCCCCCCCCCCCCCCCGGAAAGGAAAAAACAAATCTATCAAGAAAAACTAAACCTTCGGCGACGATCTCGCAAGCACTGTGTTGCTAGCACTGCTATCTCAACAAAGTTTCAACCTCAAGCTCTAAACCCTAAATCCGACACCCTAAACCCTAAATCCTACACCCAAAACCCTAAATCCTACACCCAAAACCCTAAACCCTAAACCCTAAACCCTAAACCCTAAACCCTAAACCCTAAACCCTAAACCCTAAACCCTAAACCCAACGCAAAGAAAGGACACGCCGTCGAGGCGTTTCGGGATTTGGCTTCGGAAGACCGAAGGATGCAGGTGCTGCAGCACACCCCGAGTCCGAGCCCTTCTACCCCTTCTTCATGATGTGCATATATATATATATACATATACATACATAGATATACATGTATATATATATATACATGTCTGAATATAAAAAATGTATAGAATAACAAAGATTGCATTAATCATGAATCATAACAGTAACCATACAAAACACGAGAAACAAAGTGAGAAGACTAAGGATGATAGGAAGACATATAGATCATGAATGCTATCAGCAGCACGTCAAGATTGAGGCCAGAGCTTTTAAACCTTACCTCAAGAACCCCAAACAGACTCGTTTATTCCCCAACTTCAAACAACTTCGAGCGAGCGGCATAGGGCATGGCGCCATGCGCGCTCACAGCCTCGGCGTTGGCAAACACCTCCCAGGCATTCCGGCAGAAGACTCTGGCACGGTTTGGGGCTTTAGGTTTAGGGTTTAGGGTTTAGGGTTTAGGGTTTAGGGTTTAGGGTTTAGGGTTTAGGGTTTTCTAGTCATTCTACTCCTTCTAAACCCAGGACGCTAGGTGATCAACATGGCAGTTGCGTTGCTCGGAATCGGATTCTCGTGGAGCAAGCTCTCCGACGTGGAAGCGAACCACCCCCTCAATATCCGCCATCACCCGACCCTGCGCTCGGGGTTTGGGACTTCGGGCTGGAGGGGCTTAGAGGGGCCTCGGATGACATTACTTCGTGGAGGCAGCTGAGGTCTAGACCCTTGCATCCCTTTAAGCCCCAAACCCCAAGCCATGGATGTAGGAGCAAAGCCTCAAAGAACACCCGACGTAAGTGGCACCTGCCAAGCTCAGACCCTAAAGGTACATGTGCGTCATGTCGATCTGCCTTTGAACATTTAACATTTACTACGATTATTATTATTATTATTATTACTAATAATTCTGATTACTTTTATTTTTATAGTGATTATGATTATTAGTATTACCATTATTATTCTTATTATTGTTATTACGATTATATGTATGTGTTGTGCTTCTTTGTTTTTTGGTGGGAGGCTTGTAACACAAGGTCATCAAGGCTTCTGGAAACTTTATAGCTTTGCATCCCTGTTTAGAAGAACTTGCCATGGGGATCCTACTTTTCAGAAAAGGCCCCTAAGCCCTGAACCCGTTTCGCTGCAACATGGGAGGGGCACAAACCCTGAACCCTGAACCCTAACCCCAAGCCCTAAACCCTAAACCCTGCACCCTGAACCCCAAACCCCAAACCCTATAAACCCTAAACCCAAATTCGCCTCGTAGGTCATGAACTTGCAGGGGTTCTCGCTATGACCTGGGTCGCTTCAACCCTCCAAGGAATACCGAATTCAGTTTAGGGGTTAAGGTTAGGGTTTAGGGCTTTTCTTTGCCACCCGCATAGCTGAATGGCAACATCCACTTCGCAGAGCTTAGGGTTTAGGCCTCAGGGTGTAGGGTTTAGGCACCCTCTGCACCCTAAAACCCTTGAAAACCCTCAACCCCACATGACACCAGTGTTTTACATGCCGGTCTCCAGGGCCTGTATAGCCCCTGAAATTGGGATCCTGACTTAACAGCTAGTAAGAAGAAGGATTCCTTGTCAAAACAGGCCCTAAGCTACGTTTCAGCTGCCCTTGTGCAATATCTCATGGTTCGGCTGGATGTTGAGCCTTTGTTACTCTTGGGAGTTGCGGGCAACGGATGATGGTTCTGGTCGAGCTGCTGTATCTTTGCTGCCTTAAGCTTGGTGCACTTCATGGTAGCCCTAAACCCTAAACCCTAAACCCTAAACCCTGAACCCTAAACCCTAAACCCCAAGGTCATGGGTGTGCTTGGACTTGCCCCCCTGCCCCAGATCGACCACCTGCGAACCAAGTTGCGAAGAAAGTCGAAGCGCAGACAGCCAGCCTCTTCCCGCGAGCCTGATCTACACACATAAGGTTTAGGGTTTAGGGTTCAGGGTTTAGGGTTTGGGGTTTAGGGTTTAGCGAGGTTGGGATGCTCCCCGTTATACTAACAGTCCTTAATGGGGATTCTAGCACCCCCTGCTATCATGCCTATCAAGGACTGTTAGTATATTCCCAAACCTTACGGGGTTGCCTGTCAGGACGACACGGAGGGAAAGTGCTCGAAATCGTGGCAGGGCACACCCTAAACCCTAAACCCTAAACCCTAAGCATGTGGGGAAAACCTCGTCTCTGAAGTCTAAAAGGGTTTAGGGTTTAGGGTTTATGGTAAACCCATCAGAACTGAAGAACCCAACATCTTCTTTGTTGCAGGATCTTATGACAAAAACCCTTCTGAACTCTCGGGTAACCTACAAAAACGCCGGCGTTGGATTCTTAAGGTTAAAACCTAAAACCATGGGCTTGTCACAGCCGTAACTGCCAGGCCTTCTGCCCCTAAACCCTCAACCCCAACCCTAAACCCTAAACCCTAAACCCTAAACCCTAAACCCTAAACCCTAAACCCTAAACCCTAAACCCTAAACACAAGGACCCCAGGCTGACAAATGCAACCCCACCAAGCCTGCTGCATCCGCTTTCATGACCTGCCGCAGCTGCACGGGGCGACATGCCCATGCTGGAAGGCCCCCCAAGTCTTGAAGGCCTTTTTTTGCAACTGGGCTTGAGGACTAGCCAAGTCTTGAAAGCCCTAAACCCTAAACCCTAGACCCTAAACCCTAAACCCTAAACCCTAGACCCTAGACCCTAAACCCTATGGCGAAGTGATGGGAAGCTTGGAAGCAACTCCGCAGACTGATCGCAGGAGAATTTGGACAAACCGCACACGGTGAAGTGGTCACACTTTGCCGCGACAGCCTCGCCTGGATAAACTCATCCACATGCTCGGGCTTGATCTCCACCTCGCCACCCCAGGCATGTCGGGTTTAGGGTTTAGGGCTTCGGGTTTGTTTAGGGTGTAGGGTGGATGAACCTCCTAGCAGCATAGCTTGCAAGCGCTGCTCATGGGAGAACGTGGGGTGTTCAGTGCTTCTTTTTCTTAGTTCTCCAGTAACCTGGGGGAACCAAAGGTTAACCTTTGGGATTACAAGGGGATTATATTACCCCAAAAAAGGTTAAAGGTTACCTACTCTACTACTAGGTTTTTCACAAGGGAGTCTACGCTTCAGGTTCTTAAGCTGCTTCGGGTTCCTGGGCTCAGGGGGCGCCTGATGACATGCTGAATAGCAACCCAGGGAGCCCAATCCTCCCTAATTAAGGAATAGACCTTAAATCATAAAGGGATCCTTAATATGATTTAAGGAATACTCCCTAAGTAAGGAATATGCCTTAAATGATAAAGGGATCCTTAACATGATTTAAGGCATATTCCTTAAATTAAGGGGTATGGGGCTCTTTGGGAACCCGGCACCGCAAAAGATCGGCTCACAAGGGGCGCGCAAGACACGGCGAAGTAGAGAGAAGCTGTGGCATGGCTTAGGGGTTTGTGGTTTGGGGTTTGGGGTTTAGGGTTTAAGGTTTAGGGTTTAGGGTTTAGGGTTTATGGTTTAGGGAGTCTAAATCCGAACTTTATTCTGGGGCTTTACGAAAAACGTGGCTGCACTTAGGAGGGTAGCTAAAAATTAAAATTTCAGCTGCCTTATTAAGAAACCCAACAAACCCAAAAAGGCTAAGGATCTAAAGTTACAGTAAAGCACCACAAAGGATTCGGAAAAGAAGGGGCCCCCTAGAATAGCCCCCAAAATAGTAGGGTTCACTTGTAATAATGACCCCACTTAGGTACCCCCTTAGGGTCTTGGAGCCTAAGGGAAGCCCCATGGAGCCTTAAAGGATACTGTAAGCCCCGAAAGCCTGTAAAACCCATAACCCTTTATGAGCACTCAAAAGCCCGAAGAAGCCCTTCATGTCTTTGTTGAAGCTCTTCAAAAACACCTTGAAAGCCCCTGAAACCTCAAAACCCTAAACCCTCAACCCTGAACCCTTCACCCCAAACCCTGAACCCTTTCTATTTTTGAAAACCCTAAACCCTAACCCTAAACCCTAAACCCTAAACCCTAAACCCTGAACCCTGAACCCTAAGGAAGCCTGCCTGCAGGATCACGGCGACTGGTGGGATGCGCACCAAGCGGAGGGAGATTTGTGGAGAGAAGCTCCTGTCGATCCTGGCAGCTTCTTTCTTCGTGTTTAAGCTAGGGTTTAGGGTTTAGGGTTTAGGGTTTAGGGTTTAGGGTTTAGGGTTTAGGGTTTAGGGTTTAGGGTTTACATGGCGCTGTCTCTGTATCTGAGCAACTGGACTCACGCTCGGGGGTTTAGGGTTCATAGGTTCGTTTTTTGTAGGGTCTGAAGCTTCGGGAACAAAATGCAACAGCAGCCGAACCAATCGAACCATGCATTTTGCGTTTTAAAAAGACATGATTACAGGCATGCAAAGCATGCAGACAAACTCAAGTGGGTGCAAAACAGACATGCAACAACGGCCCCCTAGGCGCGCCCCTATTAAACCCGCTTTACACGTACAGGGACCTAACAAGAATTCTGTCCGTAAAGCTTCTAGTAACCTGCTTCTTTGGTCCGGGGAGACTTGACAGTTGTCCAGGGCTTAGGGTTTAGGGTTTGGGGTTTGGGGTTTGGGGTTTGGGGTTTGGGGTTTGGGGTTTGGGGTTTGGGGTTTAGGGCCCAAGGCGCTGGAGGTAGCTGGTGCGCACCGCTGCGATCTTGCCTGCGTGGATGGAGGGGTCATGGTTCTGTGGGTTGGTGGGAGATTCTTGTGTGCCTAGAGCAATCCCACCCTAAACCCAAGAAGCCAGAACCCCAAAGGAACCCTGAGCATTAAACCCTAAACCCTAAACCCTAAACCCTAAACCCGGGTTTAGGGTTTAGGGGTTGCAGTCTGAGGGGCCCAGCGCATCCTTCTCCATCCTGGCCCCCACGGTAATCGCCGAGTCGATGGCGTTGCCCAAGGCGGTGACCCATAGCTCGTCCACAGGGTCCTGGCACAGCATGCTTGGTTTAGGGTTTAGGGTTTAGGGTGTAGGGTGTAGGGTTTAGGGTTTAGGGTTTAGGGTTTAGGGCTTAGGGTTTAGGGTTTAGGGTTTAGCCGCATGTTGACCCTTGGGGTAGGATGAAGTCAGGAAGTTGCCCCAAACTACCGTCCACTTTTGGGATCTCAAAAGAGGGGCACACAGATTTAGGACAACCCACCATAGTGCACGACAGCCAGGAGTGTGCAACTGTAAGCCCTGAGACCTACAACGCTGCGAAGAGACGGCTCGCAACGCAACCAACGTCCACCCCAGCTAGGGTTTAGGGTTTAGGGTTTAGGGTTTAAGGTTTAGGGTTTAGGGTTTAGGGTTTACGGTTCAGCATCTCAAGTCCAAGCATTCACTAGTCAAGCAATTACTCCAGGAAAATACCCACCCGCCCAAAGAATCCCACAACATTAAGAAAATATTTTACTTGTAGAACGACCTTGCCCGTGCCCAGTAAAACGGCGACCTTGCCCAGTAAAACAGCGACCTTGCCCAGTAAAACGGCGACCTTGCCCAGTAAAACGGCGACCTTGCCCAGTAAAACGGCGACCTTGCCCAGTAAAAAGGCGACCTTGCCCAGTAAAACGGCGACCTTCGGGGTCCAAGGTCGCATTTTGACTGGGCAGGAGAGGAAGGTCGCCGTTTTACTTGGCAAGGTCGCCGTTTTACTGGGTAAGGTCGACTTTTTTGACCGAACTGACCTTGCCCAGTAAAACGGGCGACCTTGCCCAGTAAAACGGCGACCTTGCCCAGTAAAAAGGCGACCTTGCCCAGTAAAACGGCGACCTTGCCCAGCAACTCTCCAACATTTAAATTATATATGTCAGAGAGGTTTAGGGTTTAGGGTTTAGGGTTTAGGCTGTTTAGGGTTTAGGGTTTAGGGTTTTGGCTGTTTAGGGTTTAGGGTTTTGGCTGTTTAGGGGCTGTTTAGAGTTTAGGGTTCAAGAACCCAACTCCGAAGTCTCCCGAGCCCCCAACCCGACTTGCCCCGGCATCCTTGTCGCGGGTCCCCCGGAGGAATGTTGCGGCCGCCCGGGTGTAGAAAGAAGAGGGCTTCTTCCTGACTGCATGGGGTTCAGGGTTTAGGGTTTAGGGTTTAGGGCTGTAGGGTCATTGGGTGCTAGGGCTAGAGGGTTTAGGGCTCAGGAGTTTATGGTCATTGGGTTATTCTTCGTGCCGTATCCTGCACGTTGTTCTAGGCTTTCGGGCTTATAGGGTTTCATCGGGCCTCTCAACTCTTGCTTCAGGATGGCGTAGCTGTTTGAGTGAAAACAAGAGACTCATTGAACCCGAAGTGGACCTTGCCTAAACCCTAAACCCTCAACCCTCAACCCTAAACCCTAAACCCTAAACTGGGGGTGCAGTGGCAACACATGCCCAAGCGAAGGCGTGCAGTGGGGGCTTCAGGCAGGCCTTGGCAAAGGGAACTATAGAACTAAATGCCCTAAGCCGAGACATATGAGTACACACATGCCAAGAACAACAACCAAAAGGCCCTTCGCAGCCCTAAACCCTAAACCCTAAATCCTAAACCCTAAACTACCTCAACCCGAAATTCTGAAGCCCTGCAACTCCAAAATCCTGGAGCCCAGGCTCGAAGTCACCTTCAGCTCCATGAGCTTCTCAATCTCATCCATGATGGAGGACGAGGGCCCTAAACCCCTAGTTGTGCAGCCCTGACAAGCTCAAAGCAGCATGCTTACCCAACACGGGCACGCCCTGAACCCGACACCCAATTCAGACCTTTCGGGGTGATATAGTCCATGAATGGTCACTGTGCCCTTCCAATTCGCCCTGCAAGACTCCACTCTGACATGCGAGCGTCTGAGAGACATGTGCAGCAAGGCATGTGCGAGATGCGCTTGTCGGTTCGGGCGCTCGATATGGGGCAACCCTTTTTGTTGGCTTACAAAACAACATTGGCGTACAAGGGTGTTTCTCGAAACTGCGGTACCTGTTTTGGTCCCCTATGATATACAGTATAGTTATAGTATAGTTTTAGAGAACTACGCACATGCAACACCGGGAGCCCTCGACCCTTCATTGCACATCACAGACCGCAAGGCCTCGTGCACAGTAATGCGTGTCCATGCCGCGGCCGAAAGGGGGCTGTGTCAACCAGCCGTCGCCAACTGCCTCCCAACAGAAGGCTTGAACCTGGTACAACCTTGCAGAACTCGTGGTGACTGTGAAGCGAGGCCTGCCCTAAGCCCCAAACCCTACAGGCCCTCAAGCCCTAAAACCTACGTCCCAGAACCCGAATCTGGACCAAATCTGAAACCTTGAAACACCCCAAAACCCCCTCACCCTAAACCCCCTGACCCTTTAACCCCCCTCCCCCCCCCCTGCAGTCTGATGTCCAGCCTTCCGGGTTCCCTGTCCAAACGTCGCCGAAGTTCTGAAAGTCATCACGGCCTTTACTACCACCGTTAGGGTTCAGGGTTTAGGGTTTAGGGTTTAGGGTTTAGGGTTTAGGGTTCAGGGTTCAGGGTTTAGGGTTTAGTAGGGCTCAAGGTTTTGGGTGCTGTTGCGGCTGTAGGGTTCAGGGTTTAGGATCTCAGGGAGCCTGCCTTGGCCCTGCTATGGGCTTCTGTTCATCTTGTGGATGCGTTTTGCCCCTCGAAAACCGAAAACACCTACATGGGCTCTTATACCCTCTAACCCCTTGAAAGGGCCCTTTATAGGGTCGGTTAGGGGCTTATGAAGCCTCATAGCCCCTGCTGGCAGAAACAAACAACTCCTAACATCTTGGGCCAGAGGCCTACTTGGTACCCCAGGAACCATATGATGATAAGGGTACCCTTGTCTACTATTTTGCTTAAGAACCCCCCCCAAAAAATATACATATATAGAAAAAAATTATAAATAACATACTCCCTACAGTGCCTTATAAGGAGAAATATTTTTACTATTTTAGGGGTTCTTATGCAATTCGTGGTTGTTTTACTTTACACGGGAACCTTGAACCCCCCCCCAAAAAAAAAAAAAAAAAAAAACGTATAGGGCACCAGTGGGCTCCCAAGCTGATGGAGCTGGCGACCAAGGGGCCCGAGTCAGAAGAACAGGAAGCTAGAAATAGGCTTAAATAGGCCTTAACCCTAGCCCTAAACCCTAAACCCTAAACCCCAAACCCCAAACCCCAAACCCCAAACCCCAAACCCCAAACCCCAAACCCCAAACCCCAAACCCCAAACCCCAAACCCCAAACCCCAACCCCAAACCCCCAACCCCAAACCCCAAACCCCAAACCCCAAACCCCAAACCCCAAACCCCAAACCCCAAACCCCAAACCCCAAACCCCAAACCCCAAAACCCAAACCCCAAACCCCAAACACCAAACCCCAAACCCCAAACCCCAAACCCCAAACCCCAAACCCCAAACCCCAAACCCCAAACCCCAAACCCCAAACCCCAAACCCCAAACCCCAAACCGCCCGCCCAAACAACACGCCCTTGCAACCAACAAGAAGACCATGTGTCAACAGGCTTCGCGAACAGCACAGCCCTTGTACACCCTGGAGCCCTCAACCCTTGACACCCTAGGAGCCCTAAAACCCTAAACCTCTCAAACCCTAAAACCTCTAAAAACCTCCCTCTTTCCCAAAAACCCTAAACCCAAACACCCCTAAACCCTAAAACCCTACAACCCCAACACCCAAAACCCCAAAACCCTAAACCCTAAATCCTAAAACCCCTGAAGCCCCAACCCGCAGGCCTCCGACGACGAAGAAGCTGCCATCCTCTGTATTTCGGAGATCAAGAGGTGCGGAAAACGGGGGGAAAGCGGCCCAGAAACGATTAGGGTGTTTTTACCGGAGTCACTCTTTCCCGAGCACGGCAGATTATTATGGTTTATAGGGTGCAGGGTAGTGGTGCAGGGTTCAGGGTTTAAGGTTTACATATTTGCTCCTTTTTTCCAGTGGGGGGGAGGGTTAGGGCTTAGGGCCTAGGGTTTTGGGGGGAGGCCACAGAAAGTAGGCCCCTGTGGCCGCGGCCGGCCGTGCCACGGCACCGAAGTCGACCTGCGCTGGGGGGTGGGGGTTGTTAGAGTCTTTGGGGCTTGAAGATTCGCCTTTATTGAATCCTGTCTGGGCCTTTAGGGCTTCGGGTTAAGGGTACCCATCATCCCTATATGAACCTAGCAGCCCTGTACGACCACCGTCACCCCCAAACAGGATGCTCCAAAAATCATCTAAAGACCTTGACCCTCACACACCTCAAGGGTTTAAAGCAATATTTGGTGTAAGGTCGATAGGGTTGGCCCCACTGTAGAGTTCGAAAACCCTGAGCACGCGGAAGAATCAGCGGGCGCTCCTGTATGAGCTTAGGGTGCTTCGGGCTTGGGATATAACAAAGGGAGGGTGCGAGAGCTGAATGCCCTTAGCTTCTTAAGTTTAGGGTTTAGGGTTTCGGGTTTAGGGTTTACCCGATAAGGAGCCTGAGCAACAAAGCCCCGCAACCTGAAAATCGTTCAAGGCGTCCGGCCCGCGAAGAGCCAGAAGGGTTCTTGTGTGTGGGCTTTGGGTTTAGGGTTTAGGGTTTAGGGTTTACGGGTTTAGCGCGTGCACCGATCCAGAGCCAGACCTATGAACTTCTGAAACCTGTTGTCGATTTCAGGGCATGTTAATGTCCCGGTAAAGTCCCTTGTTGGGGTCCTTACTACAAGGGGATCCTGTTATTTGGGGGTCTCTATCCGGGATCCCTGACTATCGTAAACCCCCATCTAAAGCTATAGCCTTCCCAGGTCAAGCTTTGTCTCTACTTCGCCAGGTCGCGCATAGGGGGGGATCGGCTGTTCCGAGTCCGGCCGGATCCCCTGTTCGGGGCGACGGGGCCCTTCCTCCTCCGAATGCTTGGGATGGAGCTCGCTGTTTGCCACTCTTTTGTTAAAAGAGTGGACCCTAAACCCTAAACCCTAAACCCTAAACCCTAAACCCTAAACCCTAAACCCTAAACCCTAAACCCCCGAGAGGATACCCCACATGGTCGAAGTCAGCTCTGTTGCTCAAGAGTGCTAACTCGAACGGGTATCGTAAACCCAGTACATTCTAGGCATTTCCCAACATACCCCATTCCAAATGGAATAGAAATCCCCTTAAAGAGACCCCCCCAAAACTACAAGTTGCTTAAGAACCCCCCAAACAATAAACATATGCTCTTCCTTATAGGGGTAATATAGGGATTACATTTCTTTTTGATTCTTAAGCAAACAGTAGAAAACGGTACCCCCTAAACCCTAAACCCTATACCCTAAACCCTAAACGGTACCCCCCTAACTTTGGAAACCCCCATATCGTGCCCTTGCAACTCGGGTCGAGGAAGGGATGTGCGTGGGTGTGACACGACAAAGCTCCCAGGACAGCCACGAAAACTGTTTAGGGTGTAGGATTTGGGGTTTAGGGTTTAGGGTTTGGGGTTTAGGGTTTTTGGGTGGTCCTTCTTCCGCCCCCTGCAATAGACCCTGCGCCCGGAAGAAACCGGGCCACCAACGCCGACTGCTGGAGATGAAGGTCTATATACTGGGTTGGCACTAAGAAGCCCTCTGACAAGAGGTGCATTTTTTTGGCCCCCCCGCATATCCATTGGGGTTTAGCTCAGAGGTTGGGGCGTAAGATCACTCAAGGGCCTACCTCACAGAGTTGACACCTGGGCTCCAGCCATGGAGACCCCTAAACCATTCACAACCGCATATAAGGTCTATCGAAGCAAAGCCCGAAAACGCTAAAATCCGAAAGCCCTTTTCTTGAGATTCGTGTTTTGATCTGGCTGCCCCTCAGAGGTGCAACTCACCTGTCCCTGACATCGCGGACCTGGGGTTTAGGCTTCGGGGTTTCTGCGAATTGTTTATGAACTCCCCAAACATACAAATATTCTTCCTTATAAGAGTAACATGGGGATTCTTATGTTTCATTCTTTTGGGGTTGTTAAGCAAATAGTAGGTTTGGGGTTGGAGTTTCGGAAGCAGGCTTTAGGGTTTGTCAGGCTTGGGTTACAGGTTAGGTTTAAGGCATTGTGAGGGGGATTCGGGCTTCTTGGTTTGGGCTGTCGGGTCCGTCAGGTGTCAGGACTTGCCGAGAAATTGCGCAGAGTTTCAGTGTCGGTCAAGGATTTTGGGCCGAGAATAGGAGAATAGGAGGTGGGGCGACGCCGCCCATTGCAGCTTCTTCTACACTGAACCTTAAGACCTACCTAAAACCTAAACCCTAACCCCACACCCTAAACAGAAGTGTAGAGGAGCAGGCTTCCCCAACCTCGCGAGGGGCAATGGACAGAACACCAGACCATCATCTTTGTGGGGGGTGGAGGAGCAGCCGGGCTTTCAAAGTTGCGGGTTGATATTTTATGAACCCCTAAATCCGATACACCCTACCCTTCTTTTCCTAAACCCTAAACCCTAAGACCTCTGCACCCCCTTTTTTCCGTTTTGCCTTAACAGGCCTTAAACCCGAAGTCCCATAGCCTGCATCCTAACAGCCATAAGGCGTTAAAGGTGTTTGACCTGAGGCAGCCGCGTCGGGGAGATCGCGCCAGTTGCTGCGCCCGTTTCGACTCTCCCCTTGGAATTGGGCAGTGTAGTTCAGGGGGTTGGGGGTTGAGAGTTCATGAATCTAATGGCTCCCTTGAAAAATTCGGATCCCTATTCTGGTACCGGTTGGCCTGAAGGCTTAGGGCTATTGGGAAAAAGGGGGTATCTGTGAGGAAAGTGCTCCGCTCTACAGCAAAGAGGGAGAACTGCGAGCTTCAACCCTCTACTTTTCATGAGGTGGGGTCTATGTTGCTGACATTGGTGAATATCTGGTTCTACCTCGGCGCATCCTTGGGGCCAAATGAAACACACAATTGGGGGGGGGGGGGGGGGGGGGGTCATATTCTCCTATACTGGTATAACCCCTGTTAAGGTACATGAACCAGAAAACCCCTATTAAGGTGCATGAGCCATAAACCCTTTTAGGGTTCATGTGGCCCCCAAGGTATATATTGGAGACTCATAGCAAAACAACATAAGCCCGACATCGCGCCCAGCCAGAGTGCTGAACAAGGCGCGAAATTGCTCTTGGAACGGCTTCAAAACCCTAACCCCTAAACCGCCCTAAACCCTAAACCCTGTGTGTTGTAGAGAAAGAGAGAGAGAGAGAGAGAGAGAGAGAGAGAGAGCGAGCAGAAGAGAGAAGAGAGAAACAAAAAAGATAAGAAAACATGAAATAACGTATAATATGAACATATACGGAGAAAATGAAGAAAAAACACATGGGCGGAACATGGGCCGGAAGGAGAATCGTCGAGCATCAGCAACTCAGAGCTGTCAGGGTGTTGGAATCAGAGTGATATGGGAACGGCAAGAGTAGTATTCTTTAGTACAATGTCTTGCCATTCTGTCTATGTTCTTACTTTGCACACGCAGGGAAGCCAAGACGCCGATTGGATTGGTCGTCAGCAACCCTGAACCTTCCTTGGAGACCAAAGGAACACTAAAATTGGGTCATATGCCCTATACTACTACAATCCCTAATGATTAGGGTATATGAGCCATATATATATATATATATACCTTATAGGGCTCATTTGGTCCCTTGAACCCGAAGCCTGTTTCTGATTTGCTGCCGCAGGTGCTCCTATCCCTCCCATCTTCCTTGCCGCTCCGCCTCTTCAGCCGATCTTCCTGATCTCTTGTGGGCTGGGTTCGATTCAGGTTTAGAGTTTAGGGTCTAGGGTCTAGGGTTTGGGATTTAAGGCTTAGGGTTTAGGGTTAGGGGTGTGGGCACAGGAAAACAGTTCTGAGCCCACCTCACCCCCTCCCTGCCCGCCAGCATCAAAACATTGCAAGTGCAAGCCCTCAAACAGACCGGGTCCCTGGTAATCTAGCAATTTGCACATTCACACCGTTAGTAAGGCATACCCCCCCCCCCCCCCCCCCAAAAAAAAAAAAAAAGATACCTAAGCTTTGCAAGAACCCTAACACCCCCCCCCCCCCCCCCCCGGGCCCCCGCCAAAAAAAAGGAAAATATAAAAGACCCTAAATCCTCTTCAACCCCAACTCCGAACCCTTTTCGCCCGCCCAACGCTGAACTCCCCTAACAACAGGCAGAGTGTCCCGGAGCTTGCGTCCTTCCCGGAGCTCGTGCACAGCCTACACTGCAACTAGGGTTCAGGGTTCAGGGTTCAGGGTTCAGGGTTCAGGGTTCAGGGTTCAGGGTTTAGGGTTTAGGGTTTAGGGTTCAGGGTTTAGGTTCACGGTTGAGGGTTTCAGGCTCATAAGGAGGCCGGTTTTCCTGGATTTCTGGATTTGCTCTTGCATGTGCTTGTCTGCATCGTCCCATTGGGGCTTTGGGCTTTGCGCTTGTTTGCCACCCGCCAAGCAGGAAAAAAAAACAAACACACTGCACGACAACGACTTCATCAAACGCAGAAAAGTCGCTTGGAGGTGTGGCTGACATGTTGCGTGACACTAAATGCTTACCGATTCTTATTCTCGCGCTACGGAAAGATCCCTAAACCCAAAACCTGAAACTGAAACCCCCGGCCATCTACAACGATGCTATGGGCCGGTGCCCTTCGGCCGAATTTTCTTTCAGGTTTCTTACGTCGCAGTTAGCCTACAAAGAAAACAGGTCTTGCGCGCTCGAGGAAGGTGCGCGCCCCCAAAAAGACCACCCCAGCACGAGATGCACCTGACGGGGTGTATGCCCGCGCAGCTGGAGCAGCTGCGGTTTGGGGTTTAGGTTTAGGGTTTAGGGTTTAGGTTTAGGGTTTAGGGTATAGGGTATAGGGTATAGGGTTTAGGGTTTTGGGTTTAGCTTTCAAATTTAAGAGTTTAGGGTTTAGGGCTTTCGGGTTCCGGGCTCAGGCCTTCCCAGAGGCAGGCACGTGCAGAGCACAGGGCTCTATGCCGGGTTGTGGAGCTTAGACATGACTGTGCCCAGACAACATGAACCCTGAGCCCTCTCAACTTGAAACCCTAAACCCTAAACCCTAAACCCTAAACCCTAAACCCTAAACCCTAAACCCTAAACACCTACACCCTACGTGGCGGCGCCTTGCTATCCGGGGAGTCCACCCCGTCCCTGGCCGTTTTGAGAGAGGGGGGCTGCTGAGGAGTGGGAGGAGTGGAGGTAGTCAACGGCGCAGATTCTCAACTCTCCCCCTCAGGGCCCCATGTACCTTTTGACCCCGCGAGCTCTGCCGGGTTGGGGCCCATGTACCTAAATAAGGAATACTTGGGTTTCGGGTTTAGGGTTTAGGGTTTAGGGCTTGGGCCGTAAAGTACCTCCTATTTAGGGACTTTTGGGGCCCAAGTATACAACAGTGAGGTACATGGACCCTTAGGGTCCTATCTCCCCAGCCACCCTCATCAACCCAATACTGGCCCTAAATGGTCTCTAAACCCTAGATAGGGTTGAAACCCTAAACTGGCCCTAAACTGAACCCTTATCCCAAATGTTGCATAGCTTGACGTTTTGGGGGATGGTCTCGGCTGTGGATATGCTCTGCTCTTCAGACAATCAACCTAAGGAGTGACATCCGAAGCCTCGCCAATCAGCTCCAGACGAATATGCAAGCGGCAGGGTGTCAGGTTTAGGGTTTAGGGTTTAGGGTGTGTTGGGTTTTTTTTGTCACTCCCGCGTAGCTGGCCGAACCGCAAAGGAAGGTCTGCATGGCTAATGGCTGGGGAGTCTAGGGGGGGTGTGACATTAAGGGTAAAACAATCGAGGATTCTCTTGGAGCTACAGTAGACTAGGTTCGCGATAACCCCAAAGCTTCCACTGTCTGACTATAGGGAAGTTTAGATGTTTCAGGGCTTTCAGGCTTACTAGGCTGCCCAGTAACCTAGGCTTAAAAAGGGTGCCCTTTTTTGCTGAAAGGGTTTTATAAGGGAACCTAAACCCCCAAAAAGGGAATAAGGGTACTACCGGGCATCCTAGCTTAACTGTTTCTTTGCGTGTTTGCTTGTGTTGTCGATGGCGGGGTTCGGGGCGGTTCATGCCTGGCTTCATGGCCGCGAGGAGGGGGCTCCATCGACTTCTTCCGGCCTCATCAGGGTTCAGGGTTTAGGGTTTAGGGTTTAGGGTTTAGGGTTAGGGTAGGTGGCCCCCGTTTCAATGGGTTTAGGGTGGGGGGGGGGGGGGGGAAGATCGGAATCAACTACTTGCCTAAGAACGCCCCCCCCCAAGGCTAGCTGTCACCCCGAAACATTGAAAGGGCATGAAACCCTAAGACCCCCCCCACCCCCCCAAACAAAAAAAAAAACAACAAAAGATGGTTTAATCTCATCTTGCCCTTGTAAGGGAGCATTTTTTTTTGGGGGGGGGTTCTTTAGCCAGTAGGTACAGTACTGGTTTTAAAAGACAAAGGCTGCCCTACTCAGCACCGAGCCCAACAACTTCCCCGTGTCGAGGTTTAGGGTTTAGGGTTTAGGGTTTAGGGTCTAGGGTCTAGGGTCTAGGGTTTAGGGTTTAGGGTTATCTGGGATGGCCTTAGAAGCCCCCGAAAACACATTCCCAAAGATGAGCCTCTGAAACCCAAGATGGGAAAATATGAAATGTCCCAAGGGCCAAGGGCCTACCGAATTAAGCGCACCGACTTTCGCGAAATCGAGCGCCGCACCTAGCTGTTTAGGCTCAGGGTTGGGTGTTGGGTTTTGGGTTTTGGGTTTTGGGTTTAGTTTAGGGTTTAGGGGGGGTTGTCTTTGCCTTTTCCATTCTGGTGCGAGATAAGGCGTCAGCTGCCCTAAGAGCTCAGCTGAACAACGTTGGCCGTAAGGCAGCCTTCAGAGGCTGCTTTGCAAGTGAATAGCCCCCTGAAGGGTCGCACATGCAGGCATGTCTCATTCACCCTAACGACACACATCAGATGGCCATCTACGCCACCCGCAGCACCCGGGAAAGAGACAGACCTGCATGGAATAAAGGTGACGGTCGTCGTGCCCCGCCACACCTTGTGGTGGCACTGGTGGGTTGCTTGCCGTGAGGACCAAGCTTCTGCACTTCAACGAGCTGAGGCATCTGTTGTAATAGCCGTTTCCCATAATGTTGGTACCGTTCTTTGGAACTTCCCCCCAAAAAAAAACATAAAAGGATTCCTTTGCGGGGTGGGGGGCCTTAGCGTGAGAACCTCAGCCTACACACCAGAAAGCCTGCAAGACTGCCCGACTTACCTGACTACCAACCACGACGAGCAGCAAATCATCACTCGCCAGTGCTATCGCCAGAATCCTACCAATCTACCTTTCGAACCCCCACCCCCACCCCTCCCAAAAAAAGAAGAACATGCTTCGTTGGCAGTTGACCTCTTCTTACGCGACCTACATTGGGATGTTCCCGTTACACTAACAGTCCTCAAGAGGGGTTTTAATAGGGGGTACCCGAATAGGTATTAAGGACTGTTAGTATCAGAGAGAACATCCCAAGATCTACACAACAAACCGAAAACGTTGGATTTCGGAGTCGGGTCCTGCACATGGCACAAAGGGTGCGAATTCGGGCAGCGAAAGCGACTGTATCGCTGCCCAGGCACACAGCAACCAGGGCAGTCCTTAAAGTTTGGAAAAACTTCTAAGTGCGCGAGGTATCCGGTACTCGACCACTCCGGCTGTTCAGTGCAAGGTGGATTCAAGGGTGATTGGGATGCATTTGCATGCGTTCGGGAGTATTGGGTGTTAGGGTTGGTGAAGGGCTTGGGGTGCAAACATGCTTAGAAGGCACAGGGTCGAGAGCTTCGTGGATGGAGCGGCTCCTCATCTTCATAGGACACACCAGAGGGCCTCTACTTTTCAGGGTGCCGGGTTTAGGTGTAGGGTCTATAGGGTTACAGGGTGTGAAGGGTTTGTAGGTTCATAGGGATTATAGGTGTTTTGGGTGGAGAAAGGGTTGTACACTAAACCCTAAACCCTTTGTTTGCATCTGGCCTGCAACCTAAACCCTAAACCCTAAACCCTAAAACCCTAAACCCTAAACCCTAAACCGGCTTATAGGGTTGAGGAAAGTATCCGACCCCCGAGAGGCCGCAGAGTTTTGGAGCGCCGGCGCCTTTGGGCGAGTCCAGACAACTCGTGCACTCGAAGTGCAAATCGTTTTTTGGGTTTAGGGTTTAGGGTGATTTGGAGGGGACTACTAGAGCCCCAATAGGAAGGTGTTGTAAGTAGGGCCCGTAGACTGTCTTATAGGAATTCTTGTAGTGCACCCTAAACTTCTAAACTGCCTTAAACCCTCAACCCTAAATCCTAAACCCTAAACCCTGAACCCTAAACCCTAAACCTCTGGGTTCTTGTCCCCCAGGTCGCTCGCGGGCCAAAAGCCGCAGCGGTTCCTGGGAAGCTGCACCAGAAGCCCATCAAGGGTTTAGGGGACTGAGGGATTTAGGGTCGGTTTAGGGGACAGGGCTTCGGGTCTCGCGGACAGGCGGGTTTTGGCATGACTATGTATAAAGCGTCTTTTGAGGTCGTAAGTGACTGTCATGCCATCCATGCGAAGACTACAGGGTTCGTGAGACAATGGAGAAGGAGGACGCAGGAGCTCGCGAACTGACGATGCATTTACTTTGCGTCTGCATGTAGCACTGCCTCAGCATGTGGGCTGAAACTTGAGGTGGGGGTGCGGGTGTGGGTCACAGAAGGCTTTATGGTTCATGAACCTTAGCAGGGGGATATAGTAGTATACGGCATAATATGATCCCAACGTTAGGGTTCATTTAGGGTGACAAGGGTGTAGCTGCAGGTGTATTCATGTTTCCGTTGAATGCTGCACTCCTGGGCCTTATAGGGGGGTTTGGGCTTTCGGGCCCCAGGCGGCTATGTCCAAGCGGCTTCGCGGGAATGTGGCGCCACGCGGTCTCAGACCTCAGACTTTTACAGCAAGCTCTAAGGGATCGTAGCCGTAAACCGTAAACCCTAAACCCTTTTGAGCAACCCTAAACCCTCTCTCTCTCTACCCCAAACCCTAAACCCTGAACCCTGAACCCTAAACTCGGTATGCCGGCTTCTGCCCCCACACACACACGCTCAAAGAAGCAAGCAAAGCACTTGGGTTGGGGAGGATGGGTGTCCCAAGGATGCCCGGCAGACCCTGAACCCAGACTTGCCCAGACAACCGCTTAGACTCTCCAAAAATCTCCACAAGCCCAGTCCTCCCCAAAAACAAACAAAATGTATATACATATATATATATATGCACACAAACAAAACCTATGTGCATATATATATATATATATAGACACGGAAAACTACAATAACATAGAAATGTACTCTCGACCTTACATACCTCATCCCAACAATTCTGCCCCCCCCCCCCCCTCTCCCCCCGCGAATCCAAGACCAAGAGCTATACTCCCCTTAGAACCTGAATAAACATAACATTTTAAATATCCTCTTGGGATTCATATAAATATAAACAAAAAACATTTTTTCTAATATCCTCTTGGGTGTTATATAAACAAAAAGAAACACATAATTCCCAAGGGGGATATAAAGACGGGGGGCCGGTCGCTTCCAGGTTTGGTCGAAGGAGGTGCCGCCGCCCTTGGCCACGGAGCTGGGCCCGCCTCGTCAGTTTAGGGTTTAGGGTTTAGGGTTTAGGGTTTAGGGTTTAGGGTTTAGGGTTTCGGGTTTAGGGTTTAGGGTCAGCTAAGGTGTGGTCGCTTGGGGTTTATAGGGCCTTGTAGATGCTCTCCTTAAAGGGCCAGAGGAATCCTTTAGTTGGGATCATCGATGCTCTACACAATACATACCGGACCATAAACCTGTTTAGGGCTCATCTGGCTCTCGAGGTTGAAGTTCATGCGTTAACGGCTTACGACCGCTTCAGGTTAACAAGAACAAAGCCATGTGCACTGCGCATGTATGTCTGTCACATATTTGTGTATGTGTATGCATATTATGCGAAAAAGACTTTTCCCCCAAGCAGTGCGTCACTGAGCAGCGGCCTTCAGGGCCTGTGAGGGGTTCAGGGTTTCGGGCGTTTAACCTCGTTCAAGCCCTGAACCTGCAACTGCTTCAAGAAGTCGTCTCGCATATGCACCGTGGACTACGCCGATGCTGGCTCAAGTATCAACCGGTGCAACCCATCAGCGAACGAATGCTTCTACAGCATGAATGATTTCTTGGCTTATCGGATGACGACACGAATCCCCGGGAATGAAACAGACTAAACCAAAAAAGGGAAGCTGAACGCCAACCGCCAAAAAAAAACGCTCTCCGGCAAGGCGGTATGCCATCTACTGCTTGTGGGATTCGTATTACTGAGGGCTCAGGGCACGAGGGAGGCAGCGAATTCAAAACCCGCCGCCTCGTGTGTGGGTTCCGGTGTAGGTGCTCTTGTCGTAGAAGAATCCTGGGGTGTCGCGAGGCGCTTAGAGCTTGGGGCTGAAGGTTTGGGGCGCCTTGTGGCTGGAGGTTCTAAATGAGAGACTCGTGGTATGCTGGCATGCTGAACTCTAAGCCCTTGGCAACTGAACCCGATAGCAAGAAAGCCTAAACGCAAAGAAGGCCCCTGTCCCTACAGAATCCTTGCAGCCCTAAGCCCTATATCAACCCAAAACATCCCTAAGCCCTCCACCCTCAACCCTTGGGCCCTAAGCCCCGAAAGGCTAAACCCTAGATCCTAAACCCTAAACCCTAAATCCTAAACCCTAAGCCACTGACAAGTGAGCCATGTGTCGCTCCGGGCCCACAAGCCGCCCAGTGCCGGGGCCCCGAGAGCCGGGTCGTCCTGGAGACGCAGCGGGGTTTAGGGTTTAGGGTTTAGGGTTTAGGGTTTAGGGTTTAGGGTTCAGCGTCTCCAGTTCTTCAGGGTTTCGGGTTTGGGGTCTTAAGGCAACCCAAGGGCCCATCCATCAGAACCCTTTAGAGGAGGTAAGGGACCACATTAAGGGCCCATGTAACCCTGAACTCTAAACCCTAAACCCTAAACCCTAAACCCTAAACCGTAAACCCTAAGCCCTAAACCCTAAACCCTAAACCCTAAACCCTGATTAGGCCCATGTAACTACCCTTAGATTCCAAGACACCCACCACAGGAGGCCCCTAGCATCTAAGCTA